AATTGACAGCTAAACAACATTTCTAGGGGGAACTTACAAACACATGTCAAGCAAGAACTCTTACTATTCAGGAGGAACTTTCAAAAAGAAAAGGAATGTCAAATCTTACAGCTAAATGTAGTCCATGCCCCGAAAGAAAATGTTTGTGTTTTGTTTTTCTTTGAAAGTTTATCAGTTGACCTTCAAGTTGATAATATGTTGGCATTCCAACATATCTAAGGTAAATTATTGCATAACATAAAAGTCACATAATGGAAAAAAAAAAATAAAACACAACAAAGTTGGCTCACTGTTGCTCTCAAAGGTCCTGGCCCAGATAACTGATCTCTTCTGTTGGCTCCTGACAGAGTCCCAGGTGATGAAGAGCATGTATCATCATGATGGTTCTTTCCACTCTTTCCACTCTGGGCCCCTGGTCCTTGCAAGGATGTCTTTTGGGTACTTGCCAGGTGATATGGCCGCCTCACAGTATCAGTAGCTGGCTTTTTACCTAAAAATTGAGGAAAATCAGTTGATACAAACCCTTTCCATATGTGTCATTAATCAGGTGTGAGCATGAGATAACTGAATAATGGCCACTTTCTTTTTTTCTTCAGGGAACTAAGACAAAGTTGAGAGCCATAAAAACAAAGGAAACCAGGCTTATACTGAACCATCTTCAACAAACAGGTTTGGTCAAGTAAGGTATAGTCAAACAGAACATGGGATCAGTTTCATCTAGCCCCTTACAAAAGGAACATGGGCATTGTTAACAATATCAAAGTTTTATTTCACTACAAAGGAATAAATGGTTAATTTTTAAATGTGTACCAGTTTCCTTGTTAACATTTGTTCCATTCTGTGATGGGTGATCTGTTGTTCTGTGCCCTCCACTAGCTGCGTTATCAGAAGACATATCACTGGATGAACTTGCCAATACAGATAATTTCTGACGTGTACTTGCTGTTGCTCCTGCCACCATACTGAAAAGTGTTCAGATTAAGTCCGTTGAGGAACTGCTGCAGCCCTCTCTACATATATAGGTTTCCAATGGGGTCTGACAAAGTTGTACCATCTAACAGAATGATTACCAGCCACACTGCACCAAATTTACTTATTTGTTGGCTAGGTAATAACTAATAACTGCTTTTTTTTTTTTTTTTTTTTTTTTTCAGTTTTTGTTACCTGATTTCTCTTCAAACTTACGGTCAAAAAGTTGGAATAGTCCACTTGTTATAAGGGAAGCTCTTTGAGCATGCAAGATGAAGCAAATCCTATGTTCTGATTGGCTACACTTATTCAATTCCCAGGGAGAGAGAAATACAGCAGTTGTATGTCTTGAAGGAAGTCAGCACAAGTAACACCATGAAAAAAGTGAAGAAAGATTATTTGCTGTAATCGTTTAGCCAATTAATAAATCCTTCCACAACCAAGAATGTTTGATCAAGTTGACTGGATATGGCCTTACCCTAATTTGCTTTTTCATCATCTTTTGAGGAAACAGGTTTGGTTAATAATAGAATTATGACATAAACCTAACAAAAATTTGAGTATCAGTGGTTGAGCGAGATAAGGAGGAAAAAAACACTAACTTAGAGGATACACACATGAAATATCACAGCACTTTGCATACCTTGAAGTTTTAGTAATAACTCGAGAGAGTTTCTTGGGTACTGAGGGTGCATTCTTGGAACTCTTGACAAACCGCCTGACCCAATTCTTGACTCCTTCTAAAGATGTAAACTCACTGAGAGGAAGTCGTGTCCAGGGGTTGGTGTTGTTCATATCAAGTACAGCCACTGCCATTGCTCGCCCCACCTGTCAACAACAAAAAATGGCAAAAATAGACCAGAATAAAAAGTTTGCTCATAGGCCAAGTGGCTCACACCACTATAACCTATCCAGTTTTCATCTGCATTTAGCCACTTGGGATAGCATTGCTAAGGGTGTACATGATATCCAAGTGCACAACAGATCAACCCCACCTTAGGTGTGGCACATCCAAGAACACAACACAAGGACCCCAGCATGGTTTGAACATGGAGTTCAAAGTGCTGACCACTGACACATCACATCTCAGAACAATGTATGTGGTCTTATCAACTTCTGATAACCATAATGAACAACAAATCAATCTTAAGAAGTAAAGCAAATTTGCTTGACAATGTAACCTCATTTTACCTCTTCATAAATCTCTGGTGTATACTTGGGTGGGAAGCCAGGCAAAGGAGGCGGAGTAGCACACCCATTATCACAAGTGGCAGGTGGCAAGCAATTGACTGTGCGCCCACAGTTGTAGTTACACTCTAGTGTATAACTGATAGAGAAATCATATTGATATCAAACATTGCCAAATAGTGATAAAATTAATGTATCTTGCTTGATGGCAAAACATATCATAATGTAGGTATATATTTTATGATATTATATATTACAACATCCCAAGCAGGAGGGAAAAGCTCAAAGATTATATTTACTAAACAGGTATGCACCTGTTTAGTTACAGAAGACTCTAGTATAAATTCAAAGCTAATCAAAAGTTCACTGCAGCTCAATTGATAAAGCACTGGATTGCAAAATCAAAGGTTTGAGGTTCCAAACATCTCAAATAAATCAGGAGGTTTTTTTTTGACAACCTTACCCGTTGTGAATATTTGTCTTTTATGCTAATTGCGTAGTAATTTGGCACCTATTCTATCAGAAAATACATCAAAAGGAATCAGTCAGGATCATATCAATCAGTATGAATTGTGTGTGTGAGTGCTAAAGAAATCTACAATTTGAGCATTACCAGTACATGCTCACAAAGATGTGTTCAGAATAGTAAGTGTTTTATCATTATCAGAAGTCTATTAAAATTAAAATGTTTCTACTGTACATCTCCTTGCCAACCTGTGAATTATCCCAGTGGCTTTATAGATGGCAACCCTCCCACTTCCTTCTTTGGACATGCCATCTCGCTTGTCCTTGCTGTACATGTTCTTTTCAGTAAAGTTACAAGCCGCAAAGTCAAAGTTTGTTGAATTCAAAGAGATGAGTTTTGGGAATAAAATAGAGCTGACATAATTGTCTTCATTCTCCAGGTAATTTGCATAGACAAAGCATCCGCGCTTTGAAGCATGGCCATGCAGATCAACATAGTATGCAACCCCACTGCTTTGCTCAGATGAAGTCTGTGAAGAGCAATAGATGCAATTTGCAGGTTCTTTCTTGTTCAACACCGTTTTGAACTGAGGCTGGTCTAGAGTTCTTGTATTTAACTGCTTTTCTGAATGGCAGTCACTTGACATGCTGCTTGTACTTTCATTTGAAAGCTGATTAGAAACAACAGTGTCCATTTGAAGTGCATCATTTGAGGCACCAGTCTGAACATCAGGTGACATTTTCAATGCTAGAGAGTCTAAATTTGATGAGAGTGTTTCCTTGTTCTTGTTATTGTTGGCATCTTTGTCTATCATTCCATTGCCCTCCACACTTATGAAATCCATTTTTACAGACTCAGGTTCTGGCAACTCTGGCTTTAACTCAGAAGGAACTGACTGCAAATCTAAAATATCTTTGTTTGTGAAGAATTCAGAGCCAGTTTCAACAGGTGTAGTGTTAAGGTTTACAGTGACTTTTTTTGCCTTCTCTGTATCACATACACAAGCATTATGGTGGTCAGAATCTTGGTGCAAGTTTCCTTTAGTGTGGTGATACAAAATGATACTTTTGGCTGCAAAGATTGAAGGATGAAGGAGAGGATCAGGATCCATATACACTCGATTCAAGTTCACACCTCGCTGATCAGTGCGGTAATGGCCACGTTTGACACCATCTGGATTCAACATTGGTATCAACTTAAACACATATTGGTCCCGTAATGCTGCAGCTCTGGGATCATCTTGGCGTAAAATAAAGTCTAGGAATCCATTGAATACAAAACTTGATGGAGTTTCCCCTGGATGTACCCTGGCACTCAGGAAAAACACCTGGAAGAGTTATAGGAAAGAGTTGAAACTCATCACATCCTATGGGAACATTTAACACATTATGGTGAACAAGTATTAGTTTTCCTTGACAAGTGCAGTTGTCTAAAAAACTTGCTAGTGTAAATGCCTCTTAACCCTTTAACACTAAAGAGTGACTGGCTTCTAATTTCTTCTTGCAATATCACCCCTGAATCAAACATTAAGGTCATGAGAATGAAGGCAATGATCACCTACTGAAAAAGCTCTTGATTTTTAAACAAATTCTCCCTGTCAGCACCACAGGAAATGTATAGAAAGCAGTATGGAGAATGTGCACCCTGATGTTAGAGTGTAAAGGGTTAAGAATAAACAAGCTTACATGACATCCAGTGCAACTCAGTGCTTTTGAAGCTTTACTTAGATTTAAAAGCATGGCAGACTACCATGATTACTTTAATCTTTTTTTTCTACACTAGATAAAAATGATTCCTACCTTCTTCCCTTCAAACTTGTGAGCCCTAGGAACAGTTTTGTCTGGAAAAAGACTTGGCAGAGATTCTTCCCTCTCCTCCATCATGCCCTTTGCAGAAGTTATTGTTAGAAGGTCTACTCTTAAGCTGTCCAGTGTGTAACACAAAAGTTCCCGATAGAAATAGATAGAGTCTTTTGGTTCAGAGGGGGTCATTTGCTGACATATGGTAAAGCTTCTGTCTAAATCATCAAGCTTTGCTTGGCAATCTGAGTATGAGTATGGATAGCAGAAAGCAAAGTAGTGAATTCCACTGCGCTGATCAGGAAAGCGATAAGTGAATGACAGTCTAAACTGGCCATCAACAGTCTGAAGAAAGGACAGAGACAACAGTTTATGAATACAGTTTTCACTCATTTTGATTATTTTAAAATTGCAAAATAAAATTTCCGCCCAAACACTAGTGGGATATTTTCAAAAGCTACCACCTACTATTGAACCTAGGAGTTGAAGTTTGGGATACTTCTTTTTCATAAGTTAGCTTCCAGCAAACCTTAACAAAAATTACAAACAAGTGCTTTTTTTTCTATTTGCTTCATGACTTAATTCGGAAATACAGTAGTAATTTCTTACTTTATAACACAACCTGCACAGTGAAACTACAAAAATAAAACAAACCACACCTAACGTGACAAAATGTTCTAACATCCACTTCACCTCAACGATAGATACTAATTAATTTTATTCAAGTTTATTGATTAATTTAATTAAATAGGAAAGAATATAAAGCAATGTTTGGATTTTTTTCCTAAACGCTTATAGGACGCCTCACCTCATATTTCGGTTTATCTCGTATTCTCTCCCATTTGTTCCTAGATGGGACAACCTTCACCAGCGGAGTCATGCCTTGACCGTACAACTTTCCCTGTCGATTTAAATTCAAGATATTTATCCGTAAAAGTTTTCCAGGTTGACCTCCTTTGATGCCGAAATAAAACCATGTTCGATTTTGATTTTCAAACTCGGTGCCAGCACAGTCGGGAGCCGTCCAAACATTGTAATCAAAGTCAGGATTTATCACCACAGCTCCATCACAATCCTCTGGACTGGAAGAAGCGTCTTCAGTTTTTACTCTTTCAACGCGCGCTAAATTTCCCGAGTCAAAGTTAGAAATAAAAGTAAAAGGTCCTACTTTCTCTTCCATAACCTCTCATGTCCCATAACCGGACAATCCATGCTGAAAATATAACATTGTTTTATAAACACACTTCTTCAGGCGCTATCATTCCGCCATTTTTAGTGATGTTGTCGAGTCGTTTCCAACTGCCCGCCGTTACCTCGCAACCATGTCTAGTGCTTAGTCCATCGCCATTACTTCGGCGGTCTTTCCAAAGAGGAGCGCGAGCAAAGTCATTGTGGTAACACCCTCTTTTGTTTTGTTTATTTATTCATTTATCACAAAATTTTAACTATAATTTGCAACAATTAAAAGCAAAATGACTATTGTAGCGAGGAAACCTTATAATATCTAATTATTATACCGTTTTAATTTCGCTATTTATTTTTTAAAACGTGAGCGTGTTTGATGGTTTGAAAGCTCCTTCATAATTTTTCATAATTATTTTTACCATTAAGAGAGCATTAAAAGTAATGGCTCTTGTGTTTACTAGGCCACTGATAGCGTGGTCATTCGAGGAAAACCAACGTAAATTTTTCGGGCGCAGTGGCTAAATATTCTGTCGGGAAGGAAGGTTCCCCAGAAGTAAAACTTGTGCCAAGGGGTTTCTTGCAGATTAACTTATTACAAACACAGCTAGTCTTTGAACAATTGACTCAAGAGTGTTCAAGTTGTCAATAAAGACAAATAATTCAATATCATTTACTATCACCTTCAAAACTGCATCCTTATGACCACATTAGCAATAAATAATATAACTAACAACAACTTCATTCAAATTTGTTTTGCGATCACGATCCTAAGAAAATTAAAAAATCTCGACCAGAGCCCTATGATAAAAGATGCTGGCCAAAAGTTTTGCGGCTTTAGGAATAATTAATACCCAGTACATCAACTGTGCACTGCTATGCGCATGTGCATACTATCACTTTAGGCGGCACCACAGATGGTCGCGTGCTGTTTATCTGCTTTACGGATCCAACCATTAACATAGGTATCTTAAAGAATGAAGTGACTTTTCGATAAAAGTTCTCGTCAATTTACCCAAGAACAGGCCACTACCACCAGTTAAAGGAGTTTGATTAAGTTGTCCTTTAATCAGTCAATGTCTTCAATGCTTTTCCATGAAGTACCACCATGAAGTGAGTCAGGAAAGGTCCTACTCCGAAAGCTCCAACTAAGAAAGTTGTTTCTCGGGGTGCTTGACCTTTCACCATCTTAATGAAGCCTTGTTAGATTGAGCTGTGTCCAATTCCGTGGAAATCCTCTCCTGGAATAACTGTTTCTCTTTTAAGTCCTTTCAGCTTCGCTGGCGAGAGCTCGTTGTTTTCTCTGTGGAGGAGAAAAAGTTAAAATTTGAGAAATAAAACTCGCTGAAGTATAACTTTCCTCCAACCATTGTAACATCCTTAATCAGTCTCCACTTTCCAAAGGCAAACATAACAGTGTTTTGGGCACGAGGACTTGTCAAAAAAGAAAAAGCTGTAAGATTTCCCCTGCTACAGTTCTGCGGAAATCAACTGATGGGTGAGTTCAAGAGAACAGGGAGAAACCCTCAGAGCAAGGACGGTAACAAATCACTAAATGGACCCTCATTTAATGCCAGATTCGAATGCTTAACCCTAACCAAAGCTACATCTCTATCTTAAAAAGCCCCTACTGGTCAACCAGGCCTTTTCCTGATTTCAAAGTGAAGGAAAAAGCCTTTGAAAGCACAGCTTTTTGAAGAAGAGTATTGAAGGAGGGAGCACGAGGATTCAATTAAGAGATTAAAAGAAATTAGGACTTTACTCAACGAAGTTTGATTTCAGAGAAGAGCATCATTTTCTCGAAGAAAAATAAATGGAGTTCAAAAAAATGCCATGAAATACGGAAAGGAACCCAACAGACACTCACCCAGTTTGTATTCTCCTCGCTGGTGATCAAGTCAATTATTGCCCGCAGCAGAGCACTTTCTCTGTTACCCGTCCCAGTCCCCACGCTTAGCTTCGTATCCGGCTTAGCGATTTTCTGTCTAAGCAGTTTGTCGAGTTCGACTCGTAACTCCTGCCAAGGTAAAACGAGAAAATGTCGACTCGTTATCTGGCAAATAGTAATACTACAAAATTGAAACATTTTCGAAAAATTGGTCATCCTTGAAATGAATGTTGTTATTGTTGAACTGTCTTTGATTTCAAGACAAACATCCTCAGTGTGCAGTATTTCAAGGAGAAGTTAATTTCAAATTAATTCACATTTCTTATGTAGTCCTTCTAAAAACAAAAACGGCCTAGAAACATAGGGAAAAGCGATGAGTAATTGCAGATTCAACTTAGGGATTTTGTATCGGCGCTAATCTGTCTGACATTCAACCCATCTTGTAGAAATAACATTCTTTACCAATTTTTCGTTAAATTTCGAAAGCAATGCAGGATTGATTGGTCAAGATAACTAGCGCTACCTACTACACCAATCAAATGGAAAAAAAGTACAACCAAACGTGACTAGATCACCCACGTTTTCCCGTGTAACTTATTTGGTTTTAAATCTGAATTTTCATTTCTTTTCAGTTATTTCCCTTTGTTCTCATAGACCCTTGTGATCACTTTAGTTTAGTTTAACAACAAGCAATCGAAAAGCGATGTATACTCAGGATTTCATTACATAGGAGCACGTCACCAACTGATAAGAAAACGAATCACTTTAGGAAAAATAATACTAACCTTGACTAAATTTGCAATTCTGTTTGGAGACTTGAATTTGATGAAATCGTCGATTGCGACTGTTTCGTAGCCCTCTTCTACAAACACAGAAATCTCGCCGCCAAAGAAGAGAAGGGGGAAGGGTGCTATCATAGTGCTGTCGTACAGGAATAGCTAGAGGTGAACAAAAATTCACCGATTAAACAAAACATACATCGAGAATCCTGACCGTGCATGAGATACTAACGTAGGAAAAAATGAAATAAAATCCAGAGCGGAGTGCGTGAGATACTGGCGTAGCAATCGAATGAAAGACAATCCTTACAGAGCGCGACATACTGAGGTAGCAATCCAATTCAGGTGAATCCTAGGAGTGCGCGAAAAACAAACGCAACAAGCAAATGAACTAGAATCCTAAGAGTGGGCGGTAAACTAAAGTAATAGGCAAAGGAATGAGAATTCTGGTGGTGTGCAAGATACTGACGAAACATTGAATGGAAGAGAATCCTATAAATGCGCGAGATACTAACGAATTATTGAATGGAAGAGAATCCTATAAATGCGCGAGATACTAACGAAACATTGAATGGAAGAGAATCCTATAAATGCGCGAGATACTAACACAAAAATAAATTGAGTTAAAATCATGGAGTTTGGCGAGATATTAATGTAACAATCAAATGAATTAGAATCTTGAGAGTTGCACGAGAATCAATGAGCACGATATACTACTTGAACGCAACAATCAAATGAAAGAGAATCTTAAGAGTGCGGGCGATACTAACGTAACAATTGAATGAAAAATAATTTTGAGAGTGTGCGAGATACTAACGTAACAATAGAAAGAAGAGAAGAATTAGAATGCGCGAGACGCTAATGTAACAATAAAATAAAAGAGAATCTTGAGAGAGCGCGCGATACTAACGTAACAATCGAAGGAAAGATAATTTTAAAAGCGCGTGAGATACTAACGTAGCAATCCAAAAGAAGAGAATCACAGGAGCGCGCGAGACACTAACATAATCAAATAAAAGAGAATCTTGAAAGAGCGCGCGATACTAGCGTAATAATCGAAAGAAAGAGATCTTGAAAGTGCGCGAGATTCTTACGTAGTAATCATATAAATTACGATCTTGAGGATGTGCGAGAAATAAGCGCAACAATCAAAAGAATGGCAATTGTGAGAGTGCACGAGATGCTTACGTAACAATCGAAAGAAAATCTTGAGAGTGCACGAGATGATAACGTAACATTTGAAAGAAAGAGAAATCTTAAGAGTGCGCGAGAGTATAGAGTAAAAATCGAAGCAATGAAAATTGTGAGTGCGCGAGATGCTAATGTAACAATGAAAGAGAATCTTGAGAGTGCGTGAGATGCTTACTTAAGAATGAAGTAAAAAAAAATCTTGAGAGTAAATGAGAGACTAAAGTAGCAATCAAATGAAAGAAAATCCAGACAGTGCGCGAAATATTAACGTAACAATCATAGGAAAGAGAATCGTGAGAGTGCGTGACATACTAACGTAACAATCAAAATGAAAAAGTAAACGATTAGAAAAGTTATAAGTGCGCGTGTATTATTGACCTCTTGTTGGAATTTGAGAGAAACACTATGTGCGCGAGATACTAAAGTAACAATCAATTAAAACGAGAATCAGTGCGCGATTTAGGGATGGAACGACTGTGAAAAAGTACTTGTATTCTTTACGTGTGGCGGAAAGCAAGATAAACTAACCCAATCACGCGACTCAATATCGTACAAAGACTTTGCCTTCTAACTGGCCATAGTCATCATAGAATGGCTGATGTGATCAATTTGAATCAACTTTTACAACAGTCAGTTGAAAAAAACTTTCTATGGTGAAAAAAGGGCAAAATACTAAGGCCTCCTTTTACTTACCGAGGTAGACTTCATCTTTTCGTGATAAATCAGCCAGTTATCTTCATAAACTCTGACCTCAGCGTTCACTGATTTCGGATGCAAATACACAGTACCATCTTGATGAGTTCGAAGCTTTGGAGGCCTGAAACATAATATGAACTTTTCTCTCTTTCATTCCACAAAAACTTATGCGCACTTCTTTTTTGCCTTTCAATGAAACGTGAAAACAAAGACAGCGAAGATGAAAGTATTTACAAAAAAGGGTCTTTACCTTGAAAATCTAGGATTGTGGTTAATGCTGGCAACATTTGGATATAAGCCGGCGCAAAGTATGGCTTTAACCAGTTTTAAATTGTCTGCAAAAGAACTGGCAATTTTGTTAGTAATAGACTGGAATTAGTAATGGAAAATCGAGTGTTACTTGGATAAATCTTGACGCGGGAAACATTTCGATGCAGCAGTTTAATTTTCATTCAAGACCAGCCGTAAGATTCGCTCCGACGAAGATAGTTGGCTTGAAATTCCCTCAAAACATGTTCAGTGTCACGGTAAGGAGAAAGACAATGCTCACCTGAATTGTAATTAGCGGAAGAAGCTTTCGGGTTGGATGACTCCAGGAAACCAATGTCATAAAGTAATCCAGAGAACTGTTGTTTCATATCTTTTATCATCTGAAACACGGTTCACGAAATAGAAAGGTAAGTAACATACTGTCATTGGAAAAATCAAGAATTGTATAGAGAATCGGATACAATTAATGAATAAAAGTTCACATTAACACCAGTGCTCCGTTTTTGGGTTGAGTGTTGATTCCTACCCCTTGACAGCGAAAAATTAAATTGTTATTACAGAACTAACATCAATAATTTTTCGAAGAACAGAAAGCAAAATGATTTGCCAAAACAAGACAAGATAGTTCAGAGCACTTGAATTTCGTACGCCCACAACCGAAGTTATCACAACAGCCAATCAGAAAACGGACAACTATCAATGGGAATCACTGAGACCTGGAGGTACAAAAAAGGTAAACTGTTTGAAACGAGGGAAAACGTTAGTAACTAGATACCACCGATTTTAATGTTGCATTTGACCAACTAGGAGGTTGGCGTGGGTTTCTACAATAATCACAAAGCGAAGAGATAAATGAAACCAAATTCATCTCGGATTACTTCACTCTACTATCTTTAAAAATAGATTTACTCACCCTCATCGTGTTCACCGATAGGAAGTTCCTCCAACAGTAATCTCGCTCAATCCCTTTACGGACAGACGTCTCCCAGCCCTTAAATAAACGAACACTACAATAAATTTAAAATGCAAACTCTAGTTGCTCTGAGTGGAAGATTCGCGGTAAAACCGTTCTCCTCATAATATACTGTTGATTACATGGCCTCTAATTTGCGGTCTGGTATAATCTTGTTTCCTCTTGGGTTTCATTGCCTCTTCTCTCTTTTTCAATCCAACGAAACTAATGTATTGTTGCTTCCTTCAAAATGTAGGTCGTTTTGAAAAGCGCAAAAAATGACTCTACCTGTGTTTGAAGGTACCTGTAAACATTTACCTGAAAGGCCTTCAACAGGGCGAGATGGTCACTACGAGTATCACCAGCAAACCTCAAGCGGGCTTGCTCGGCTTCTTTTTGTTTTCCCTGAAAATACATTAAAAAAGTACTTACAAGGCTACGACAGAAGTTGAAAATTGAAGTCAGAGTCCTGTCATAAGTAGAGGCCACAGAAAAATTCCTGAGTCGTCGAAGAGTATTCCAGCCCCAGATCTTCGATTTTTTATGCAATGCTCTATCAACTGAGCTTCTGAGAACTCTTTAGTAAGCCAGGCAAAGTATTAGACTCGTGATATGACAAGCCTCCTGCATACTGACAGGAATAACAATGTCTAAAGCGCTCTGGCGATGTTATAACAAAGATGGAAAACTTTTCTTCCGTTCGTCGAGGAATAAGAATGTTACAAAAGGACCATTTAGCTTGAAAAATGACAATGATAATAAATAAATAAAAATACTCAAAGGCCCCGAAAACAGTTAATGAATTAGATGAGTGTTCCTACCAAAGGAAACACGAAAGGATCCTTAAATCCCAAAACAGATGCCACAGTTAGAACTGGATCCAAACACGAGAATATTGCACCAAATAAAATGATCTTGCCCACTCTAGGATTTACTGGTAAAGCGGCCAAATGATGACCAAGGGGAGTTAAGTCTTCATTTGCGTCCAGCGCTTTCTATAAGAGAACAAAACAAAACAAAACAACTGTTAAATGAAAAGTTGTTTCACTTGATTAAAAGGAATCGAGACAGACGGTTTGTAAAACTTCTTCGGACATAAAAGACTCACAAGTTGTTGAAGACTTTCTAAAGCATTGATGACTGCTTGTTCCTCTGGAGGTTGCAATGCTTTGGACAGAAAAGATCGGATCATACCCAGTTTAAGAATCTACCAAAAAGAAATGGAATACCTCAATTTTTAAATTTAAAAGTCAACCCGTGTAAAAAGACATAGCAATGGTACTAAAGACCCTATCAGAAGCAGTCGCGCATTGCACACCGAGCCATAGCAAGTTCGTCGTATTGCGTTCTTGGGTATTCTCACATTGTCTCACTCGGTGTTTTCCTTATTTTAAGCAAAACAGGTCAAAGAAATTTTAAAACCAATAGAGTCATCTCCTGTTAAATTTTCAATAATTCCAAGAATTTTTAGGCGGTCGTTAGAGGTACTACAGGCGGTAAATTTTACCGATTACCGCCTGAAAAGGAGAACACTGACTCACTCCTCCCACGAGTATAAATGGGAACAAATAAACTGTCCGGGAAACCTGATGAAACGCTGGGGCGGGGGTTAACCTGTTATTACCTAGCATTACATCCAAAGGGAGAAGCAACAAGCCTATCTTACAAACACCAGAATAAGCTTCAGAAGGATGAACCACCAGACTCGCATTCAGACTTAACGTTATCTGTCCACTAAAATGGTACAAAATGATACTTCACACGCTCTAGAATAAAGAGAAACTGTACCTTAATCTGCAGGCACAATTCCTCAAGAGGTGTCCGAAGCATCTCTGGCAGCTGATAGTCGTCAAGGGACTGGGCACGAAGTTGTGTGAACAAATGAAAGCAGTATCCAGGCTGTACTCTGTTAACATACATCAGTCAGGGAACTTATTTATATATGGTATTTTTTGGTCGGTTTTTCTCATTTTTATGAAAAGAATGCCTTTCTAAAAAAAAACTCTGACAGAACGCAACAACAAATACACGTTGAAAGCTTTGTTTCAACTATAAAATTAAAATTTCTGTAACACCGAAAGCAAACGTTGTATAAATTGACTATACCTTGTTTGTATTTCTTCCGAACATTGACATTTGGTCTGTGTTTAAAGACCTATTTCTAAGCATTTACATACAACAATAAGAATATATGGAAAAAAATATTGGAACTCGAAAAAAAAAGGGTGTCATTTTAAACCCCTTCCTCTTAATAACAGCCGTGTCTCTACAGCAGCCATTTTCCGCTGTCCCCAACATGGCCATTGTTGGGAGGATCCTTTTGAGGTCGCTACTTTGGAAGGTCTTTACTACGGGAATTTTGAAGAATTTTTTTCTGGTTAATAATGTTAATACCTTCCAGCTCGACCGCGTCTTTGTCTCGAAGAAGCTTTACTGATCCATACAGGCTGTAAACAGGCAATATTGTGGTACACATCATATGTCTGACGAAATAGAAATAAAAACTCCTATCAGTTGTAAAAATGCATAAATCAGTGCGCTTATTGTCGCCACAGTCATAACTGTCAGATGTTCTGTTAGTTCGGCTCACTCCCGCCTCGATCGTGACAAATGAGTGGTAAGCTCAGCAAAGTAACCTCGCCGATCTTATATACTACAAGTTTTCTTGATATTTGGACAAAGAAAAAATCCCAACACCCGAAGAGGAATCAAAACTACAGGTTTGGTTGCTCCACCACTAAGCTACCTAATAATAAACCATCAGTCATTTAGAGTTGCTAAACACAACAGCTACGTACATTACCTTTTCTTTCACCTTGCCAGCATCCACAACAAACACCACATCATCAATAGTGATACTACAAATGGAACAGTAGCCAAGGTGAAAATCATTCCACTAAAATCCATACGTTCTAATTTTAATTTGATGGTTAGAGACGAACAAAAGTTCAAAGACTGAAATAACAAAAACAACTGAGACCAGGACAAGATTGACACAGATCATTATGGGGGCGCATCCACAAATTTGGCGGGGGGGGGGGGGGGGGTGGAAGGGGGGGACCAAGGGAGGCCCAAAACTACTTGTCGACCGACCTACTCAAGCCTCCACCCCTCCCCCTTCCCTGAAAAAAAAGTCAGCCAGTTAAGTAGCGATACGCCATCTTGTTGCTGTAGGAATTTTGGTGTTAGACACGTTATAAAAACCCCACCGGTATGGTCAGGGTAAGGGCCCTAATCCCCAAACCTTCCCCCTGGATCCGCCATTGTATCCCAACCAGCATTAAGGAGACACGCGATGGTACCCCTCGACCATGATACGAAAGCAGCTGTGATACTGCCAACCAAGTTCTTGTTAATACCTTGTTTCAGCAATGTTAGTAGCAATTACGATCTTCCTGACACCTTCAGGGGGGCGGTCAAATACCTAATGAAAGGAACATTGACAGATCAGTGATGGAGCAAAGAGGGAAACCAGGGTTTACCTCTAAAGTAACCTAAACAGGGCGTCCACTGGAGCACCTCTTGACTGAGCATCGTAGGATGGAAACCAAACTAGGCACCTTACTACACCAAGTGGCCGATCAGAAAATGAGGAAATATCACATGGAGCCAGTGAAAAGTCAACGAAAGACACTGCAAACAGCTTGAGGCGCGGGAAACGCGAGTTACAGGTCATAATTAGTTTTAAATCTATACCTGATAGATTTAGAGGATGGTAGAAGTTTTCCCAACCATTCACTCAACGCAAATCAAGACTTAAACATGCCAAAAAAAATCCTAATCCACCGCGGCATTCAATCACCGTAAAACCTTCCAGCTAACATTTACAAAACATAACTTCTCCCAACTGATCCAATGCACTGTCAAGAAGAGGCATGACTAGGAAGTGAGCATGGCTGCCTGATCTTGAGCCTATTGCGTCAAGCAAATAAAGGCAAGTCAGTTCTTATCATTTGTCTTACCTCTCGTTGGTTTGTTGACGGCATCATAGAATGTAAAGGAATGATACGGAATTTATCTGCAAATGATCAAGAAAAAAGATTTATAGACATAAATGAGTGTTACTATGCACAAACAAGAAAAACCTAATTCTCTTACAAACTGAAAATCAGTAACATCAAACGCCGATCAGAACAAAGAAAATAGACTGAAACGAACTATAATAAGTGAATCTCTACTTTACCTGAATTAAAAAGCGTTTGAGTTTTTAACTTGTCGTGAAGTTTACTAATATCATCCCAGCCAGGTAGAAAAACGAGTATTGCTCCTTCCTAAAAACAGGAATAATCAAATTCATTTGACTTACATTGTTATTTAAAATTGTTGCCAAAAACTAAACTAGTTAATTGACACTGAAGTTAAATTTAAGTCTTTGTTGGAGGACTGAGTAATGTCAGAGTATTTTGAGTAATTTTTTGCTCACACACAGGAAAAAACTCAAGTGAGAGTAGAAAAACAAAAGGGAACCACGATGACATAGAATGGTGAATATTTGAACGGATCACGTATAACGAACTTAAAAACTTGCGTCACTATTTTCCCGTGTTTTCCGGCTTACGGTCTACAATGGCCAAGCTTGCTTGTTCATTTCTGAATGTGTTCTGTACGCATGCGTTGAAAAATGAAAAAATCGCTTGGACAGGTCGTAAAACTCTGTAGGCGACGTTGTTGTAAAAACTATTCAGCTCCAACCTCAGCGACTTTTCGGGTGCAACAACACTTGAAAAAGTAGTTTATTTAGTTCATTTGGTTGAACTCGCTGAGTCTATTATACTTTGAACATTACCTCCATTCGAAGTGAGATGTGAGTTATCAGTCGGACAAGAAGTTCCAAATCGATTCTTTCCAAATCCATATTTCGAAGAGTTGTAATTGTTTTAGAAGAAAATCTGTAGCGAAACCAATAATTCACAATCACCTTCCTTGTCAAAGTAATTTAACTGAATGATTTCCACTATTATTAGGAACAAATAAGCACTGGTAAAATTTTCGATACCAAAAAGAAACTTACAAAGGTTCCTCTAACCAAAAGTTGTTAACGATGAGGAAGTGCACCTTTAAAGTTGTTTTGAGATTCAAAAATATTGTCTAATTGCAGATATTATGTCCAATGATCCAGCAAATATTTTACCCACACGCGATTGGTCAAAACGCATCATGTGACCGAATATTCCCCTACCTTAAAGGAGGGGGGGGGGGAAAGACAGAAAAAGAATTCGAGGTGATATTATTCAAGAATTGAAAGTATTGTTTCAGGAGAATTCTTACGGGAAACCCTACAAAAAAAACCTTAAAACGCACAGAAAACTTAGCAATTACCTTCCTGTTAGGGAATTGAGATATTGTTGCCACTCCATCTGCTTTTCATCCTCCTGACTGTCAGTCAGCCATGCATTAGTTTTCTCTAACCGTCTGTCTTTTGCCTCACTTTTACCCCTCCTGTATTTTTTCCATTTTGGTTCTGGTCTGTCTCCTCTACCAGAAACACCAGCTTTTTCTGTAATTTCATATCTGTGAATACACCAACACCCATGATCTGATTAGCAATTCTTCTATCTTGCTTCTAAGCTTAATATGCTTTTTAACTAGTTCAGAGAACATGGCACTGTATTAAGGTTTGTCTCATAACCTCTTTGCTGGATGATAAATTAAGATTGTGAAGATATATTAAACTTTAATCACACCTAGGAATAAGGCAGTTGCCAAGTCATGCAGTCTAACATGAAGTCGTTTTAAGTAGACTAAGGCTCTTGCAAAATGTGCACATAAAGCTGATATTTGGAAAATCTTCTGTCAGTAAAAAAATGGATCTAAAATGCACAGAAATCTAACAAATCCCTTTATTACATCATTGGCCATGGCTAAAACATTTGATAGTGTAGTCCGATTGTCAAGGTTAGTTTAGTCCTGAGAAGGACTGTTGTCCATTGTGGTGACTGATATTTTGACAACCTGAGCAGAAGTCATCATCAGAGTCAAGAGATAATATATAATAATAATAGATAATAATATAAACTTATATTTGGCCTGCCAAGTCACCAAAAGATCTCAGATCACTCTGATTCCTTAAGGTATACCTACGCTGACCATTCTCTGAACTAACCTTTCTAATTATGGTAGTGTGTTCAAAGACTAACCTTATAGGAATTTATCAAAATCAAGAAAAAAATGTTCTTTCTTATAGCAGTAATCCTCACCTGGTTTTTTCAATTATTTCCTCAAGATAAACCTCCTGAACAGGATAGGTGAATCCAGGAATATGAGCCATTTTACAATTATCTTGAAGTGGAACAAAATAGAATTAGTACCTTGCATGGAAATGAAAACCTTATTTACAGCTGTTTACAGTCAATTTTTTCCCCTTCAGATGACAAATAACAATGTGTATTTTGATTTACTGCCATCTTAGGATATGAATGTCTCCATAAATTTCATATGTACCAACCATTCTTCTATTTGCCTTCTGCCAAAGTCAGTGGTTCATAGCTCATTTTGTAAGAGCATCCCGTTGGCAAAGTCACACTTGAAGTCCCAAATATTTGCCTCAACAATCCTTTTTTTCATTTCACTCTTTATTCAATCACAATAATTAAGACTGAATTTACTCTACTGAGCTTCTCACCAAAATAAGCAGAGAACATCTCTGAATTCAAAGTTGCACTCATGAGGATCAATTTTAAATCTGGCCTATGTGAAATAAAAAATACATAAGGAATTAATTGTAGGGGGAGAAGCCTTAACAGGAATATGAAACATCAAAAAGATCATGGATAAGATACAAAGTAATCAGTAATCAATCAAAATCAATAACAAGTCAAAATATGTTTTAGCAGCAGAGCCACTACAATGAGTTGACAACTACAATTGCCAAAACTTAAATCCTAACATTACCTTTTTGGTAAAAGATCTTTTACAATAATGATCAGGAAATCTGATAAAATATCCCTTTCATGAATCTCATCAAGAATGATGTGACTGCAACCAAGAAGCAATCTACAAAGGAAAAATAAAAAGTAATGAATGTGCTTGTTTTTAATTTATGGTTAGTACAAACTGCAAACATCTTACGTTGATCAATGTAGAGATTGACCCTGTACTGAGTCTGGTGCAACAATGCCACAGGCAATCACTCTCTTCTATATCTGCTACATTGAATGCAGCATTCGATGATGTCACTCACCAACAACTACAACTCTCTGTTAATAACATGATTTCTCTTGCAATTTGGTGTTAATAAGCACAAGTAAGAACCCCTTGGGCTTTCAGTGAAAGTTGTAGTATTTGAAAAATTCAGAAGTGCTTATTACACCAAATTGTAAGAGAAATTATGTTATTACTTGTTAATAATGTACATGGAAAAACATCACAGAAAGTCAAGACAGACAATGTGCGTGCTATTTGTCATTTGCACTTGTGTTACAACTTTGCTCTTGTGTTACAGGAGAATGCACTCCTATTCAGCCAATCAGAAGCACATAATTTTTTCATGTACATTGTTACAGCAATTAACTACTGACTCACGGATCAGACACTAGCCATCTAAGCAGCACTCCTGTTGTACAATAGAGGATAGAACCTTGCTCTCGTGGAAGCTTGCTGGAAGAAAAAAAAAAAGGGGGGGAAATGAGTTTATCATTTGGTGATTTTGTCCTAAAACTGCCAGCAGACAACAGACATTGTAATATTGTTTAACACCTCATTACCTTTCCAATCTTATCTGGTAACCAACACTTCCATTTTCACCACAATTTTCATCTCTTTCTGATGCAACTCTTTCTGCCACCTTGCATAGGATAAATATAATCAATTCATTGTTGATCAGATTTAATGATCACTAAATAATAATTATACATCACTAATGGTTAAAGTTAGATAATAAGTAATACCCTTGGTACATTAATACTAAGCTAAGTCAACCTTAAGTCTGCATGGCTTCCTCTTATTGGGAAGGAAAAATTAATATTTTGACAAAGCAAGGATGGCTCAGGAAGAGTTGTTTGCTCATCTTTCCTCCAACTTGGCTGGACTTGATTTCTCAAATGTAAGCATCACATGTGGATGGAGGTTGTTGATGGATTTAGTTGCTCCAAAGGATTCTCTTCAGTTTTTCTTCACCCATGTCATGATGGAGCAATGACTTTTAAATACTCAGAAAAAAAAGTTACTTTGATTAAAATCATGGCTTACAGAGATAGCACTTATTCTCCTGGGCTGAGTACAAATAACTCGGCATTTTGACCCATGACCTTGTTCAATAGCATCATCCAAGATGAACTGAGCAACCTAAACAAGAATCACCTGAAATTAGGTCACCGTAGGATGGCTATTTAATAATGTTAACCTAAAATTTTATCAGTTAACAACATATTGGTCAAATAAACAATCTCTTTAATTTCTTTGTTTAAGGTAACTGTCAACAAAATTTGGTCAAAATTTTCAAAATTCGCTTTTTTTGCTCTTTAGTTAGAAAGTAGTTCAGTTTAATTTGCTGGGAAAAAAAATCGTAAAAAGATTGTGAGGAACAGCTGAAAGAATTTTTTGGGGAAACCTGTAATGAAGTGCAAAATGTGTCATAATGGGAAAGGCCTTCAGCAGAGTATTGACCATTGCTTTGGGCTTTCATCCTGGATCTTGATTTGTATATTTTGTTTATACCATGTTTTGCAAAATCACCTTTCCTGTGAATTTCAAAGGAGTTCTTTGTTATGAGACTTGCCAGGGGGTTCAATATTGTGTTTCATGGGTTGGTGACATGCTACATTGATGCGGTTAGGGTGCCAAAGCTGTGAATTAGGTACCAAAGCTAAGAATTTTTTTGGAGGCTAAAAAATTATTTCTTTCATAACATCCTGGAGTATGACAACAACCAAACTATTTTTGATTGTCCAACTTCAAAACAGATTTTCTCAGGAACCAATGGAAATATTGAATAAGCCTCACAGCCTTTGCTAGCCTATTGTGTGCTGAGTGATACTGTCCAGTTTGTTTCTTGGTTTGCAGTAAAGTGGAGGCGGGTAATTCAGTAAAGCAAAAACTGACAGTTTCAAGGTGTTTAAGGGCTCACAAGTGCCTACTAAAACAAAAACTGTGGACAATTTTGTTATTTTGATTCATAATCTATATTTTATAAGCTTTACAGTATATAGTTTTCTATGGTTTCTTTAAAAGTAGCATGTATGGGACGACTTCTCTGCAAGGCATCCCATTTTGTTGACAGTACCCTTAATGCTAAAGTATTGGCCTTGTTGTATTACAAGTCACTCCTGACAGTCAGGATCCAAAGTCTGGAAAGAAACTAGGGACATTCCTTTTAAAGACAATTTAGCTGGCATTAGAAATTCTTTCTAACTCATCAGCCAAGACCCATTTGTGATGAAAGTATCGAAAATGAAAGTGATATTGAGTTTCGATATACAAGTGCAGGCTAAAATATTGCAACAGCTGAAGTCCACTGAGAGATTGAATCTCTGAAACCACTAAATTATGGCTTGTGGTTTTTCAGTTTTTATAAATCAGTGGGAACACCCACTGTAAAATTGTAGTTGATTTATTAAACAAACACTGTGATACCTGGGTTGTTTTTCCACATCCAGTCTCTCCACTGATAACAATAACTTGCTCTGAGCTTATAAGTTGAAGTAATTCCTGCAATTAAGGACATTTCAAATTTTATCACTGCCATAATAATTCTAATTTGTGATTAATTAAGAGATATTTTTGTAGAGTAATGAAATACACCAACCTCTTTCTGCTTGTAAGCTGGCAAACTTTTACGAAATTCCTATAAGAAATAAAAATTTAAAAAAAGAAATATCAAGAGCAACATCAGACTTGTTATCACAAAGTCTCAAATCTAAAACAAAGATTTTTTTAAGTCATCTTCAGTACTAAAAGTCTTCCATCAATTTTACCTTTAAATGATATCACGATGCTGATTAGTACAAGGTAATTTAGTCTATAGGAGGTTTTGATTATACTGATGATATCAATACAGACCTGCATGGCCTTACATCTTGCACTTTCTGACAAGAACCTTCTTTGTTGTTCTTCCTTCAACTGATGATCTAATGTAGAATCTTGCTGCAAATTCCTGCCCATATTAAAATGGTGCTTGAAAGCTACTGGACTCTTTTTCTTGTTCTCACCAGACATGCTCACCTGGTCTGGATAGAATATTTCAAAGTTCACTCAAATAAGTGCTTCTAAAACTTTGAATATAATGTAGAATCTTTCATGTCACTGAGGACAAATACTGAGAAAAATATTAAAAACATGTCACATATCTGCATGTAAGAAATTTCATAAGGTGATCAAATTGTTCCTTATATTGATTTGGGGCCAATACTTTGCCAATCAAAACTACAATTAAAGAGCAAAAGATAGTTTATGTAATTGAAAATAATGTACAGTATCAATCTATTTATGATCAGAATTCCAGATCCATAACAGTTCTTAGTTTCTTCTACTTATAATCTGACAATTAGTCTAACAGAAATGCAAATGCTAATAGCACTCTGCACAAGCATGCAAAAACAGATGTTTCATTTAGAAAACATTGCAAGACTTAAACTAGGATTTGAAAACCAAAGAACTCCTTCATTACACACATCTGAATGAGTGAGATTCAACTGTAGCCATTTTATATATCTGCAAACCTTCACTCCTGCGATCAGACTCATCATGCAGATGTTGTTCACAGTACTGCTCTCCTTTAGGACTATCATACCAATCTGTCCCAGCTGATGCTCCTTCCTCTGCTCTGTCATCATTGGTTCTTTCACTTTGTCTGATTTCTCCAAGCAGCTGACTTATTCTCATTTCATGTTGACTGTCCATTGTAACAAATGCACGCTGAATAACAAAAAAACATGATGATAAGCATATGTTTTGCTAAGAATAAATATTATAATGAGGAGATGGAAAAATTCAAACATAAATTGGTTGAATCAAAGGACTATAGCACTGCCAAACAGACAGAGTATGACAAATACAGTCTGTCAGACAGACCAAACTACTGATTGACTAATCAAAAGGGTCAGTCCAGACCAAAAGGTAGGACTGACAGAAAGACACACTCACTCTATGGGCACATAAAAACCAAGAGAGAAATATGCTTAGATTCAAATCCCAAGATTAAACCTGTTTAAGTTCCCTGTTTTGTTTTCCTTTATCTCTGTACCACAAGCCAATCTGTTTTCCTGTCAAACCAGAAGGGCGATGTCCACCTCTACCCCTTTTACCACGGCCACCTGAAAATTCAAATTTATCAGTAACAACAATTCCTTCAAATGATTTGCATGGTATAAAAAGCCCAAAAAGTGTTGACTTGAAAAGAAAAAACACCACTTACTAGGAGGAGTTCAGTATAGATTACAGGTATACCTACGATCTTCCATAAGAGTTCTACAAAAATCCTTGGAGCATGCTTATGGAAAATCTGAGTTTCTAAAGATGATAACTTGTAATGATCTGGATACATCTAAGATACATCTTCCTAGACTAATTCAAAATCCATTATCCTCTGGCATTGTTGTTGTAACAAGATTTTCTTGACGGGTAAACAGCTGGAATATGATGCCATTACAAAACAGTGAGAGAGTCTGTTTTGTTTCTTTTGCTTTTTATATAGCTATATGTTTGTTGCGATAATGCTGTCAACTATACATTATCACATTGAACAAAAACATTGACCTCCAGACCATGGACCATCCCAATGGAATACCCAAAAGGACTGCCCTAAAATGGACTACACATACAAAATCCTACTTTGAAAGAGTTCTATTGAAAGCACTACTATTCATACACTTACATTGGATACTCCTCCTTAATTTTCTTTTGTCAATACCATAGATTTCTCAAATAAAAACCACTTTTTGAGTTACAGGTAACCATAACTGGAGATATCAGCCTCAAAACTTGGGGTAAATTTTTTCCTGTTCAAGGTGGCCTTAAGTTATCTTCAAACATTATAATCATATGTTGTTTAAACCAGTCATTTGCCAAATTTGTTTCAGTAAATGTTAAAAGGAAAAGAAGATCTTTTTATACATTACAAGTGAGTTTGAGAAATCTCCATGATAGCATTAATTTGCAGACCAAGAAGGTTTAACAGTTAATAACTGCAACTTCTTTTAAAATATCCATTGCATGGTCATGACCATATATCTATTTAACACCTCTTGTCAAATTTTATACTAGTATCCAAATTGACCACTTATGCCAAAAATTGGACATTAGTGTCGTAAATCTGACACTAGTGTCCAAAATCAAACATAAAATAGGACATTAGTGTCTTAAATCTGACAATAGTGTCCAAAATCGAACATAAAATAAAACACTAGTGTCTAAAATCAGACAATAGTGTCAAAAATTAGACACTTGTGTCTTAAACCAGACACCACTGTCTAAAATTGGACACTAATGCGTAAAATCAGACACTGGTGTCTAGAATCAGACACTTGTGTCTAAATTTGGACATTATTGTCTAAAGTTGGACACCAGTGTCTAAAATCAGACACAGTGTCTTAAATCAGACACTGGCATCTAAAACCGGACACTAGAGTCTAGACAGAATTGGTCCATTTTGGTGTATCCCATTAGGTAGTCCATCGGGATACTTCATAGACTGGGGGTCAATGTTTTGTTTATCCCCCACATTACTGTCATAAATATGAGGAAACAGTGACTCTATTTGCTCGAACAGTCTACTGTATGTGTGTGCTGTTAGTATGAACGTGGCTAATGCTGCTACGTCTGCGCGTCACTATCATAATGCTGTGTCGTAGGGTTATTTTATTACACCTGCATGATCATGCTACAAATATAATGCCACAATGGTCCTCTTCTGATCATGTGTTGAGATAAAACCCCTAAAACCTGTTCGAGTGCCTCTGCGACTTTCAGCTGACTTGTCAGCTGTTTGAACCTTCAGACCTACCTCCCTTGTGCATTTTTGAGTCAACTTCAGTTATTACAAGCCTGGCCAATTGGTTTCTTGGTAAATGAAGTCTTGCTGTCTTCAGTAAAAGCCTCATGGAGGCCTGTAAAGCGTTACTTAAAGTGACTTTGCGGCTTGCTTTTACGCCGTCTCTTCCGCCATCTTTGATCACTGCTCACCCCAGGCCCTTTTCAGGACTTTCAAATTGCACATATATAGCCTGGAAATTAAGGAAGGTGGAAAGTAAAGTGTGTAAAACTACATGAAACGTCCTCATAAACATAACCAGATTTAACGTAGTTTCGTAACAATTTTCCGGCGTAACATGAAGTAGATTTGAAGAAATTTTTTATCACATTTTTTAATCTTTATGTATGGTAATATTATCAAATATGACAGATCTACCACCTGAGACAACTAATAGTGAGTCTGAAGCAGTTTCAAGTCAGCCCAATTCACCTGTTTTTGTTGGCAACAAACACGAGTTTGTGGAAAAACAGAAGGTAAAATGCAATGTGAATGGGCGAGACATTGTTGTGTTTTACCACAACCAACGCTTCTATGCGATGGATCAACATTGTTACCGTAAGTATTAATGCATGCGCAGTACTTAATGCATATGGCTTACATGATACCAGGGCAAAAAGATGGATTTTTTTTTGGCCAATGATCAGTGGGCTATCCATTTTCACATTCTTGGCAATCATTTTTAATTCTTCGTTTCATGGAATTTAATTTCAACCACCAATTTCATGGACTTGATGGAATCATTTCAATTGCTCTTTGAATTCAACAATTCCCATTAACTTGGCACTTGCATAGTTTCATGTAAGTGGTAACATATAGAAATAAGCAGAAAAGAAGACAGAAAGATCGCCGAATGAAGAAAAGTTACCTCCTAATCCCCTAATTAGTTACCCCTAATTGGAATAGGTTTGTCGAATAGAGTTCTTCTCAACAAAGGAGGGAAATATTTCTGCACTTGGATATTTTTGCTGAAAGGGTGAAGAGTGAAGAGTTGGAGATTCTGATCTTTACCTTCAGAGGAAATCAGGATTAAGTAGGAATTCCTCACAAAATTTGATAGTGAACTTTCCAAAAGGGTATCCTTACATGAGCTGCAAAACTGCCAGCTATATGGACTGGTTCTGACCAGCCCTTCACATTGATTCTTCTTCATACTGAGTTGTTAAAATTTATAACTGGTACTATTTGTTCAAGATGCTGGTGGCCCTTTGGATAAGGGAGACATTGAGGTGAGGTTATTGAATTTGCCTGCTGTTATTTGGAAAACATTTTGAAACTACTTAATTTATTATCATATGTTTCCTTAAGAAAAATTGATCTTAAATTGATAGGCTTGGTTCTAAATGAGATGGAAGATCAATTTTAAGGCAATCAAGTGTCTTTTCTATGCCATTGGCAAGCACTCTATTTTACAACTAATCAGAAATGGCACTTTCCATTGCCCAGTTGTGTAAAAACTTAAGCTTAGAGTTGCCATCATTTGCTACAAACTTTACACCCCAGAAAGCAGAAATCGTAACTAAATAAACTAACTCAGATAAATCCTTAACTGGAAAGATAGAGGCTCATTTCATTACTTGTACAAAGCAAAAATGTTAACTCGTTTAAAAAAAAAAATCATTCTTTTTATGCAATTTAGGACATTGGAGGCAGATGGTGCATCATTTGTCCATATCACAAACAAAAGATAACACTTGAGACAGGAGAAGGACTTCATTACTCAATTGATCCCTACAATTTGAAGAAGCCACCTGAGTTGTGCTCCAAGGGAGTGGTACAAAGAGTGCATCATGTTCAAGTTATTGGCAACAAACTTTATGTTACCCTCTCAGATTCAAAAGAATACCTGCCATCTGATTATTTTTATTCAAAAAGAGTTGTAAAAAGTAACTGAATGACAGTGTTACATTAAATAATATACTATGTACACAATATAAATGTCAAAACACAGGAATGCTCTTCAAAATAAAAATATTCACACTTTTAAGGGTGCTAGTAGGTTGCAGTGGATGTAATTGAAAAATTTAACTCATACTTCTTGAAAACATTGAATTGTACAAAAGAATCTTTTTTTATTCTATCACTCTTCTCGGTAGCCCTCATCAAATATTTTTGTACAAGAGCTAGCAAAAGCAAGAACAGTGCCTCCCTGATAAATTTCTGTAGAAAAACAAATTAAGAGAGAAACAAAGGGTTCATTTGCTTTCTTTATTTTATTTGTCTTTTCTCTTCCTTGCATAAGTTACCATTACACACAGGTCTTTGTGAACTTTGTTCTTACCAGCATACAAAGCAATCTAGTGAACTGAACATATCATGTAACACCAAGCTTGTGAAGATCATATTTAATGTGCAGTGCACCTTTGCAGGATTCCACCCAACCTCTGCCTTTAATTTCTCCAGAGTACAGTCAGACTGTTCTTTTTCCACAGAACTTCAATGAAACTCTCACTAAATTTGATTGCAACTTCAGTCACAAACAGCCTGTTAGGCAATTGATGCGCTATTGTTGCTCACATTATGCAGTGTTTCCAGGTAAATTTCAGGTCAGCTGTCATCATTTGCACCAATAGCATCATCATCTTGCTCATCATCCTGCAACATTTCATTAAAAAAGTCGCAATTTCCAAGGAAAAACCTTAAGTAACAATAAATAAATTTTTTTCTTGACTTCATACCCCTAAAGTAAAACTTGCATGTGCTGCAATTTTCTTCAAATTTTCCCCTTTTGGGCTTATCCTGGGGGGGTTTCAATTAAAAAGATATATGGTTGGTCACCCATGCTTATGAGAGGCAGAGGCAACTTACGAGTATATGTTTACAGCAGAAACAACAACCATTCATGGTGAGATAAATTAAAATTGGAGGGTTTGCTGAGATGGTGATACATAAATTCTACATGAAAGTACAAATTTTTATTGACCTTCATTTCACGAACATCCAAATCTTCCCCATACTGTATTGCATTATCAATCTGAATAAGCACATTCATGATAGAATCTTCGTCACAGAGGTTTAGAGGCACAAATGACACCATACTGTAATCATCAATCTGAAAATTTACAAACAAAAAGTTAAGATCATTTCTGGATCTGCATAGCCAGCTTCTCTGTCTCTCTGACTTGGCTATATTTTAAACCATTGCTGTTTGCCAAATTTTCCACAACTCCAAAAAATGTAGGCAACCTTTGTTGAAGACATTGTTTCAATTTTATTCAGCATGTTTCAAAGAATAAAGTTTTTGAGTGTGAGACAAAGAAAAAATTCCAAGTCTCCACAAGGAATTGAACATCAGACCTTCTGATTTGGCAATCCCATGCTCTACAACTGAGCCACAAGGTAATTGTGACTATGGTAGTGAGGCTTATTACTGTTCATTCCTCTACTATAGAGACTGAGAAAGGCTTGTAAGATAATCCATTTCTTAATCATGATCAAATTGTTTCAAACTGTTGAAGAGAGTTCTGGATCTTCTAATGCTGGAAAATAAACTCAGTGTGAGTGATAACATTATGTTCAACATCTCTGTATGCTTACCAGTTGTGCCAGTGCTTTATTAAGCTTCTTAAACCTCTTGTTTGAGCTTGATTCAAGGTCTCCCACAAGGTCTTGTGGATCTGGGTCCAAAAATCTGACCAAAAAAAAAAAAATTTTGTGTTATGATCAGTTTAAATTATGATCTGAGCCAAGGAATAATTTTAAGCAGAGCCTTCAGCTCCCACAGTTCTTTACAATCTGTTAAACATGAACTGGAGTCTCTCAGACAATATTTAGATTCTCAAAATTGGTGTGGAATTGTATGACTCCTTATCCCTTCCAGAGCTACAGCCATATAACTTGTCAGCTGTATTGGACATTTTTAGTCATGCACTGAGCAGCCTCGTAAATTTATTGGCACAAAATAAACTTTTTTAAAAAAGGAAAAGATTTCATGTAATGACAATCAATATACATTGTACAACCCACAATTAAGGAAATCAATAACAGGTAAGTTTGACCTCTAGGTTTTTGAGCTGTGCAGATATTCTCATTTCATGTGTGATTAAATTATAATTTAAATACTATTTTATTTTTAAACAAAATATTATTTTCCAAAGAATCCTTCAACTCACCTATCAACTTGTTTCATTTGCTTCTTGCTGAGCAAATCCATCTTACTCATAACATTAATGTGAGGAATTTCCAATTGAATCATTGCTGACAGTGCAGTAAGAATTCCAGCAAAGAACTTGCTACAATCCACCAGAAACTGAGAATCAATCAGGAAAACCCCACACACTCTGAAATCCCATTGGTTTAATGTCTGGACCAATTGTCTCATCACAGGCATGTGAGTGTAAAGTTCTATTTGGCCTGTAGTATAAAAGTTTAAGGTTATTGTCAATGAACAAATTGTATTCTTAGACTTTAAAGCCACCTGCCTTTTCATGTCTAACTTAAATTGCTTATTTTGATAAGCTTATATCAAAAATAATTATGAGATATCTAGGAGAGGTGGGGTTCTCGTCAATCTTGTGCTCTGATTCACTTTACAAAGTTGGTAAAACAGGCCTTTCTTGTCCACTAGCAAATGTAAACTTTGTTCAGATAAAAAATTAACTGAAGCTGCCTTATGTGCTCTGTAATTTCTGGGCAACATTTTCCTTACAAGAACAAATTTTCTTTTACAAGCAGGCACTATGCACACCTGGACAATCAAACAGGACATAATCATCATCAACATCTCCCAGTTTTTCTTCTAACCAGTCAAAATTCTGTACCAAGTACCTAGATGGAGGAAAAAATTAGAGAATCACATGGTTCACAATTACTATGTTTGTGCCTCTGAAAATTTGCTGGCACTAAAACATAATACTCTTAAGTTTTGAGAATCCTCTTTAAGTTTCTGGGAATAATTGTTAATCAAAAACAGGTAAATAAAGGGCTAACTATATATTTGCTAGGATCAAAAGTATACATAAATCCCAAAATTGCAATCATTTCTTACTCCATACAGAAAACAAGTCCTCCATTTGGCCCAAGTCGCAAATCATCAGCTTCCATAACATCCTCTAACTCAACTAGCTCCCGTACATCTGTAAAACACAAACATAAACTGCACCTTAAGAGTCAAGAATAGTTTGATACTTTTCAGCTCTTTCTTTACAACTTTTAACTTCAATTAAACTTTACACTGCAAAAACATAAATTGTCCTGCCCAAAAACACATCTGCAAAGTGACCATGGCAAAAGCTTGAACTCAAACCCTCTAATCAAGTATCCAAGTCACTAAACATTTACCTACTGTACCTCCTAGTTATCAGAGATTTCACACACCGACATATAAAACCAGCTTTTTCAGTTAACATGATCCTCTGGATAAATAAGTACTATCCAATGCCTAATACTACATCCAGCCTTTTAAAAGCCTGTGACTTGTATTTTGTTTGATCAGGAGCAGCTTCAAACTACAGGAAAACATTTAAAGGCATCAGCCCAAAATGTATATGGCCCTGCATTCTCAAAAAAGTCTTTAGTGGAAAATATTATTCTGAAAACTATTTAGCTGTTTCTATTTGAAAGAAAGTCTTACGATTATTAATATAAAATTAGCATCGCTGTTTGATATTGCATGGTTTTATTACCTGCAAGAACAGGATAGTCAAAGTGCTCAGCAGCAGGATCAAGATTGACCACATGAACTGTACGTTGTACGTTTTCACAATGTTGGAGTATTGCAGAACAGTAAGTGGACTACAAAGCAAAAAAAGACACATAAATAAAGCTAAGTCACCAATCATCAGCCAGTCCGCTTTCCTCTAAATCCTGAGTTGCACTTGTAAGTTTGAAAAAGCTGAGTTTCGACATTCATCTCAATTGTCGTCATTGTCTTTATCACTCGGTATTTTTCAGTTACTGGAGCACAAGACTGATCGAACCCTTCCAATTTTCTTTGTTGTGCAAAATCGTAAATGCCTACCTTTCCGCTTCCAGCGGGTCCCATGACAAGCTGTGCATATCTCATGTTTTACAACATAAAATTATCTGAGCTGCTCCATATGCAAGATAAACATCAAGTCAGGAAGTCTCCTAACCTACGTTCCTCCATGTTGTCAACTTCCACATGTTCTCAGTATGTACTTCGTGTACATCACCGGTAGTGTCTGTGTAATTTGAGATCTTCTTTCCGGTCATATGACAACCTCAATTCCTTCTGGCAGAGAATCGAATAAAAAGCAACTTGATACCTCTCTTGATAAAAAGATGTTCTTTGAAAATTTTGCAAAATTTTGCCATTGCAGCTATTTCTCTGCAACTCCTTCACATGTAACTCAAACCTGCCTTCACCTTTGATGATCATACCATCATTTTAAGTATTCCAAAGATGGAAATATGATTTATACCATTTATATTTGTTCTTTATGTAAGTTTTTATAGATGAAACCGTGGTTTTCTTTCTCGACTGACTATTTATTATTTTACACCACCTAGTAGATCAGAGAGTGTGCAACCAAGAAAAATCACTACCACAAAAACTATGCGATGAGTTGATAACATTTGTGAGATTTATTAAAATCCAAATATCCACATCTACTCCAGTCGTACAGATGATTTATTTCATCAAAATCAGGATCAGTTAAACTTTAATTTTACACCATACATTAAGGTTAAAATAATTTTTTGTTACCAAGTCAGAAAATTTTAATTCCAACTTGTAGTAGACAGTGAATAGCAAAACACAAAGCTTATCAACAAAACTGGGTCAATCTTTAATTCAAAAATCGAAAACACTTAAGGCTACATGAGAGTTTGAGTGTCTGAGTGACAGTGCAATATACAAACAACTTGAACATATCACACACTGGCTACCATCTCTAAACAGAAAACTCAGCTAATAGCAGTGCTGTGTACAATCATACTTAGATATGTTTAATCTCCCATCAATCACAACACAAAAACCTTAGCCATTTACATCTCTAGGCTAGCTCTGAAAGTCAACTGTTTCTCATGAATTTGATAAAAAACCCATATCGAGATGACTAAGGAGAGTTAAGGGTTACGTCAAAGTCCTTGATACAAAAGATTGTGGCTTTTAGGAGGAAGAACAAGTCACCAATGAAGAACATTTTGACCCTTAACCCTTCAACCCTGAGAGTGACAAGCATCTAATTTCTCCCAACATTATAACCGCTATATCACACAGTAAGGTCATGAGAATAAAGGAAATGATCACCAATTAAATATTCTCTTGATTGATAAACAAATTCTCTTTGTCAGCACCTTAGAAATTGTATAGAAAACAGTATGGAGAATATGCATACTGATGTTAGAGTGTAAAGGGTTAAGGTCTGATCACATGAACACTCCATTGAAACGTGGCACCTTCTGGTACACCAAAATTTGCCACAGCCATCATAGTTATAGAACCATGTGACTCAACTTTCTTGGTACAATCACTTTGTCTAAATTGCAAACCAAACCTCAAAGTTAAAACTCTCTCTATGGCGATGAAGGACCAGAGAGGCGATATATTCCTTGTACACTTTACACAGAGGAGACAAAGCAAACCACTATACAACTTTAAGTACCAAGAAAGAGTGTAATTGAAATTTGATTTCAGTGTGGGGTTTTACCCCTCTTACCCATATATAGGCAAATGTTGACAGCAATGTCAAGTTTGATTTCAGACAGCTTTGGTTTTCCTTTACATCCACTGCATAATCCCTTTGATGTTAAGGAAAGCACCAATCAAAATATTTTTTTTTCACTTGAGAGTCTATCAAAAGGTAACTAAAAAGAGAACCAACAACTTATATTAGTTTCTTTCACTTGAAATTTCTGGAGAAGAAAACATTGTATACAGCAGTGACAAGAAATCACCTAATTCCCTCATAGATCATACATGCAAAATTATCCATGGATGGGAAATATCAGTTTGCGCCTAATCCAGAAAAGATATGAATATTTTTTCAAATGAGAGCCAGAGATATTACCAGTGAATACATTTGGTTGATAAGAGATAAAAGTTAGCCAGCAGACTATTACAAACATAAAAGACTACTACTAATATCTGTTACTACAGAAAAGCATCTTTAGCAATGGATATACAAATTACAATGCCAAAAGCTAGATTTTGACATCATTGTGTCTCTAGAATTAACAGTCAAGTATTTATAACAAGGGGTCACTCTGAGGGTCTCTTTTCAGCATATTTCTTGGTATAATCTTCAGCATTCTTCATGAACTTTTTCTTATCCTTCGTATACTCCTCTGCTAGATCTCCACGGAGAGGATGCTCTGGTTCAGGTGAGTGAACAAGTGCCACAAGAGCTTGAATAACTGGAAAAAGAAATTGACAGAGTATACATTACATAGCCAAGGTTTCAACCCTTTCAGTCCCAAATGCCATTAACATGTAAATTTGTCTCGCTAGTTTATTAAATCATCCAGAAATCAGACAATTAGACTAGACAAACTCATCACTTATTATGTTGATACATATACAAAACCAATTTCTTGTCACTGATTCACATCCAAATGCATAAAGCAGAGGAAGAATTCAAACTCAGATAGTGGAGATAAAAAGGATAAATAGGCAGGTACATAAGTGTGTGCAACTTGCACACCCTATAATGTTCATAATCACTGATTTCTGGCCCCAAAATTTGGCACAAGATTATCACCACAAATTGAGAATTCTTACAATTCACTGACTTGTTTGTTAGTACTAATTTTCACCACAAGGTAGTTCCAAGTTGTACAAGCTGCAGTTTAAAAAATGGTTGTTTGCCTATAAATAAAGAAAACTGTCTAAATTTTACATCCACCCTGTACAAACCTTGATCTGTCTTTGTTGCTGGCTTCCAGTTTTCTGGGCTGATGATTGGCAAACATACTTGACCTTTTTCATCAATGTTGGGATGATAAATCTTCGTCTTAAATGTAATCTGAAAAAAGGGTAAATTGTAAGTATGAATTAACCCCCAATACAAATACTACAAACAGTCTTTTTTGCATGAAATTCATTCTTTTCAGCTGCTTCTAATATTCAGTAAAATTATAGACAGAACCAAGAAAAATATTATCAAAGTGGCAACCTTCTTGCCAAATTAACATGCCAAAAGTTTTTCTACTTATCCTGACAATCAAGAGAATAGTAGGGTAGAACACTAAATTAAAATAGACCAATCCATCACTTCAAAGAGTTTCTCTGACAGGTTTTAAGAACCCATTTAAATTCCCGCATAGAAAGAGATGCTGAGAGATATCACTGAAGATCATTGGTTCAGACATCTTGAACTGAAGTCCAGTCAATCAACCATTAGGGTGCACTAACTACCATACATATAAAAACTGACAAATAAGATGTATTGCATCGTTTTTCATCCATTAGTTTCACTTTAGCAATCTATTAATATTTTTCTCACCTTTGGAGGCTTAAAAGGATATTCTGCAGGAAAATTAATCTCAATCCTAAAAGCTCCCTTGTTGTAGGGTGGCTGATCCTGTAAAGGAACAGCAGGAGCTTTATATATATCAATGTGTAAATTATCTACAATATTTGTTGATATTTTTTGGAGAATTTGGTTCACTGCTGAGTAGCTTTTGAAATCAAATCCTTGGCAACAGATTTTAATCAACAAGAGAAATATGTGAGAACACTAACCAGATTGGTGTATGTACATAACAAAGTATATTCAAGTCATTTAATCAAGTGAAATCATATAACAAAAGAAAATCTATATCCCCATAGACTTTACAAAGTTTTCTGCAATATTGCCAACAAAGGAGGGGAAATTCTGGAAAAGAGAGCTTATATAATTATTCAAAATACCTCATAATAATTCCAAGTTGTAATTAAAGCTCATAAAAGGCACCGTTCGCATAATCCTACACCCATAAATTGAATAATAGATGTAACAGAGTTTACCTGAATAAAAATTTTTAACAAAAGTTAAGGAAAGAACGAGATTTTATGTTATGCAGACGCAGCAACAAGTTTTAAGACTTATTTCAAAGGTAAGTTATCGCAAAATCTTCCATGAAAGGTGAAACCAGATTAATTTGTAGAACGATAACGGAAGTTAAATCGAAACAAAACCCTTCCGAGCCACATAATGTATAAATTAAAATAAAGCAAGTTTCAGAGAGATTAAGATACCTACCGGTATGATTAACCCTTGCCAGTATAGAATATTGCACTCGTCTACCGTAATATTACGAAATATTTTCTGACTAGAACCTCTGATTTCTGAGAGTTCCTGTAAAGCAGAGAACACCCCTGTCAATGCCGACATTTTGGCCAGTTGCAAATTATTCTGTCTCAGTGATGTAATAAAAACAGCACCAAATGTATTCAGGTCAGTGAATTACATTCTCATCATTGCAAACTGGACAACTAATGCTTAACAAATACTTATTTAAAACCACGATTATCAAACCAAACACTAAACTGATCAAGACAGCTGGAGTTTAAAACGGAGACAAATGTCATAGGGATCCAAATCATTTTCATTCGACAAGACCGGAACAAGATTTCCGCAACATTTTGCTCAAATTTTTCGCAGGTTTCCATTTCTCTGTCCACTAATCTTTTACTGAAACATTACTTAACAAATCTATATCCAAATTGACAGAATTCACTGATATTATCAGAAGCATTCCACTTTTAAAGATAGCCTACCTTTCCCAATCTGCGTGTAGCCGCCATGCTCGAAGGAACTTCTCACAGGTTTAATAACCAGTCTCTGCGCAGCCACTATTACCCACGATTCCATGCCGTAATGAAAGCAATTATTTTTCGGGTGGGGTTTTGGGCGCGGCCTCGTCCAAGCTACGTACAAGTTCTTTTTTAACTCGTGCAAACGATTTTTTATGGGGACTCCGATAAGCAAATGACTTACTCACTCTCTAAGATGTAGACCCTGTGCCAAATTCGTTCAAGCACGAAACCATATTGGAGCAATAACCGCGCATAAAAACGATAGAAAGGCTTTGTTTACAGTTAATACAGAGAATCGTTGCAATAGATATCACCTACTAATGGGCTCCTGCACCTACCAAATGAACAAAAATTTATCGAGTTCAGGCACAAACCTAAGTCGTGTGAATCGCTCCGGTTGTTTATGATCTGATGTAAAACTGCGGAGTTGGATGGTTACCATAACTGTGGATCTTTCCGTGATTTTGCGGAGGCTTGGCTAGGCTTTTGAGATAAGATCAACCTTGCATTGCTGCAAGACTAATAATTACAAGTTCACGACCATTTTTCATCCCAAATTAAGTACCTTACGCACCAGTTGGCCATAGGCATTCTTTAATTTTAATTACACCACTATTTTACTTTTCTTTTACCTCGATTAATACTTTTCACAAAAAATGAGGAAAATAAAGACGATCTAACTGACTCATACCCTTGAAAATTAGTCATAAAACGTGTTACTGCATCTGCATAACATAAAATCTCGTTCTTGCCATAACTTTTGTTTAAAATGTTTATTCAGGTTAACTCTGTTTCATATATAATTTATGGGTACAGGATTCTGCTAACCGTACCTTCTATAAGCTTTCATTACAACTTGGAATTGTAATGAGGTATTTGGAATAATGACATAAATTCTTTTTTTTTTTTTTAAATTTCCCTTCCTTTGTTACAATATATACGTTCTTAGTATGTTTCTAAAATTTTGATTGATCTCAGCCTGAACGTTCTTGAAAAACACAGGCATTCCACGCATGCAAGAGTCATTTTTATGGGGTGATACGAAATGGGACACTAAGTAACTGATGTTTGCATTTACTTTCAAAAGATTCCGATGAAAATGTCGTTCAATGGAGAACAAAAATAACCTTTCAATTTATCTGAAAGAAACAGCAGCCCGCAGAGATGCTTCAGGAAGAAATTTAGCAAATGTACCAAATGAATCCCTCTTGAATTGCAACTCTCGAATGTGTTTTATTTCTCAGTTAGTACAAAAATGGCCATCGATCAAGTGAAAGGAAAATCTCAAATACATATTTATTGCAAGGAAGGAATAAGGTTTGCGACTTGAACGAAACTTTCCATATCCAGTACACGATACAAATGCCTGTCAGTAGACGAAGCAAGGCCAAGAATTTCTTGCATACCGAAAGAAAAACCCCCAACAGCCACCACGAATATCTCAACTCCATCATCTTTTAAATTGAAGGCCTTGAATAATGTAAGTTCTTTCCCCATGTTAGATAAGCCATCCGTGACTAGGAGAACATTTTTGGGACCTGCTGGGTCAAAGCCAGACCTGCATATAAATTACAAAGAGATATACTTAGTTATTCAAGCAATTTCTGAAATTAAAGCAAATTTTCAGAAAGCGACTGGTATCATTCCTCGCCATCTGATTTAATTTACAGGGACAGTGCAGCAAGTTTTTGAGGGGGGGGGGGGCATTTTTGGCTCCGTTATTTTTGTTAAATTATTTTTGTTTAATTGGGGGGGGGGGGGGGGAGATAAAGCCCCCCAGTCCCTCCCTCTGCGCGGTCCCTGTTTTAAATAGCAAACGAGATCAAGCCACAAAAGTGTAAGTCAGTTCTTCCGACAGAGCGTCCATTCAGAGCATCTCATTGAATTTAAGATGTTTGTCATTAATCAGTATTAATTAGTATTTCTTCTCCAATCTAGAGTTGGAGAATCGTGTATCTCAGAGACCCTTCGCCACCACCCCGGCTATGCTCTCGTGCTCTGATAATGGGCTGATCGCATTTTTCTTGGCATGAAGAGTCATGAGCCACTCCCTTTGAAAAGGATCAGCTAAGTCATTGCAGCATGCAGATTGTCAGTTTTCCCTGACAATTCATTGGTACCCTATAAAATGCTAGGTGGTTAGAGGCAATGTGTGACTTTCGAATACCATGCCATGGCAAACAACAACTGGACGAGGCTTAGAACCAAGTACTCTTGATTGTGAGTTCTGTCTGGTTCAGTGCAACCGCAGTTTCCACGTACGCGACATATACTTACAATGCACTTCCAAAGAGCTTGTCTTTGCACACCTGCAAAGCCTCCTGGGTATTAGTAAGGCCAGCCTTTCGCTTCACAGTCGGCAGTAGAGCTATTGTTTCGTTCTCAGAGATGAATTTTGGCGTAAGCACAGTGGCGTCCGTAGCAAAATTCACCACAGCGTAAAGTGTATCAGGTCTCGCCTTTTCAGTCAGGTAAACCAATGCTCTAAGCCCTTTCTGGAAGTTTTCTTCTCGGATCGAGTTGGAGGAATCGATGACGTATATGACATTATTGATGGTATTATTTGGTACAGTTTCTTCACCAATTTGTCGTTTGGATCGTCTGGTGATCAGGCTGTCATCGCGGTGAAGGAAATATCTCATGATTTTCTCCGCTGTAACGTTTGGGGCTGGGATCTTCAGGTTTTCTGTTGGGAAGCAAATGGGTTAGACGACGAGATCAAATCCAAAAGTACAAAGCAATTAAACAGCGTGGTCCTATCATTTCAAGCTCTGGATTTTCTAACTCTTTGTTGTCCCAGACTTTGCGTAAAAATATTTACTATTCTCATTAATAATCGGTCTAGCAATTCGAGGAAAAGGATGTCACGCAACGACGGGAGAAGTGTCCTCGCGTGATATCTGAGAAAACGGCTGTGAAGGTAACTAGCAATAAATCAACAGCGGATATCTATTTTGAAATCGAAGCTTGTGTTACCTCGCCTCACGCTACGCAAAGACTGTTTGGGAAACATCTGGCTATAAAATGCTTCCATCAGGGTTCATGCATTAACCTATAGCATAATGGTGCCTTTAGTAAACTATGACTAACAAGGAAATCTTTAAGATGAAGTGTATCTTTGCTTGTTACTCGACAGAAACATAGGAGAATTGTCGGAAATATAAAATCTGATATTTAACTCGCGATAAATTCCTGCATTCCGTTTCTAAACGATACCTCCCACAGGTAGAAATAACACCCTAGCAGGAATTGCTTGGACCAAGTCAAAATTTTGTTCAGTGGTTTTAAGTCAGGAAATTCATGTCAAAGGACCGAGAGTAAAAATTGTCCCTACTCAAATGGATGCTATGAGTTACTGGATGGACAAATTCATTTAGACACTGAGCCATTATTGCTGGGTCACATCCAGACGCAATTTGCACCCTTTATATTTGCAACACTAAAACGGTAAGATTGGCTAAGCGTGATTGGTTTACCTTTAAATTTTTCTAGTCCCATTCCTAAACCCGAATCTAGGCAATTATGCCTTACCTTTCACAAAGGGGCATACCTAAACGGAAATACAGAGGAAGATAACTGTGACTCTAACCCCGAATTCGATGACAATTCTTTCTCCTTACCTGCGTCGATTGCGTTTGAAAGATATCTATTTGAGTGTTTTCGACGAGCAAACACAAAACTAGTTGGTCCAACGAAAAGCACAAAAGCAAACAAAACTTTATAGCGCATTGCGAAGTGGTTCACTGACACCAGTTCCATGGGTAATGAGTACCGCTGTACCTCGTAATCCACGTTAAATACCGAGGCCCGTACAGATGTTCCCTATGTTTTCCTTAAAAATAGATAAAAAAACATCATGCTCATGTAACACAACCTGATCATGTTACGCTTATTCAGACGATTGCCAAAAACGAAATTAGAATTTTCTTATTTTTAGCATTTTGTACGAATTGATCTGATAACAAATTGACCCTATACAAACTCTGTGAGTTCTTAAAGTACATATGACTGGACGTTTCAATTTTCTTTGGGAATGGCCCGGAAGAGTGTAACAGTACGTGCATCCATGGATGTGTATTCAACAGTCGACTAAAACTCAACCTGATCATCTGGTAATGCCAGTGGATGTGATTCATCACGCATTAAGGCATCTTCGAAGTATTCTTTTTCACTAGGAGATGGTAAACAAATTGACTTGCTGTGTGGTCGGTTCAAGGTTCATTTATGACAAGTACCTTCTTACTTAAGCTAAAAGGTGAAAATGTTATTGTAAAGAATTGATATGCCGCTAACATTCAAACCGTACATCGTTCCTGCCTTCAAATTTTATTCAGGACTTCTCTATCTCTTCTTTCGTTTTTTTGGACAAAGAAAAAAAATTTTCAATTGAGTGTCGAAGGTTAGTACCTCTTTTTAAGCCAATCAGATTTTCCCTTAAAATGCAAAGCTAACACTTATCGCGACTTGATCATTCGAGTTTTCCCCATGCCTCAGGCAATTTGCTCGTAATTACTTTGTGACCGCGAATTCTATCTTCTTTTGTTGATCATATCTCGCCTCGCTTCGATAAGCTGATCCCGCGGTGAGTTCGTCTTGGAACTAAGGGATATAACTGAAACGAAAGAGGTTAGTGACTGAGTGAAAGTCATAATCACAGTCACGTGAGGGGATCCGCTCTCATTTCGAGTGTTATCAGTCTGGTTCGTGTAAACTGATTGGTCAGTTCAAGTTCATATGCTCACGCAGCAAAGTATGACAGTTAACTGTCAGTTTTTAAATGAAGGGTTTTTTTAAATTCACTTCAGACTTGAATATTCATACTTAACACTTAATTACATTCGAAAATCTACAAACAAATAAATATATTTATGAATATAAAGAAAATGAACAGCCTTAAAAGAACTAAACTCGAGTCCTATTACAATTCAGAATAGGAATTATGACGGTGAAATTATTATCACCAAGGCCGCATTTATATGGTGTCGGGTACCCGAGACAACCCTCCCCCCTGAGACAACATTACGGAGCCTTTATGGGAAATTTCACCTCTGTTGACCTTCGCTCGGCCTGGTTACATATTCGACAAAATGGTGGAAGACAAGGAAAAAATAGCTGTAAACATCCCGGTCATAGCGTGTGCACGCACTTTATGTTTGAGTTGTCTCATCTTAGGTGGGTGAGACAAGGTGTTTTCATGAGAAAAAGTTGTTCCGCCTTTCAGGGTCACTCTACTTACAGAGGTGAGACAACTCGCCCCTTTCCCCTCCCCCCCCCCCACCCCGAATTGTCTCGCCTACCCGGGACGGTCGGCTAGATCGTTTTAAGAAATAGGTGAAAAGTTAGCACGCCTAGGGTCAGGGGTAGAGTTGTCTCGGGTATCCGAGACCATATAAATGAGGCCTAACAACTTTACATGTAGAGATAAGGAGGAATGGTGTCGCATCTGAGCACAGATAAAACTGGTCAGAATTTCTGTTTACATTCGCCCACAGTTGCTAAACAGCAGTCTCAGTAACAAGTTTTTCTTCTCTATCTCTAACAGATTAAACTTTATGTACTGTGGAAAAGCATCTTGACTTCCCTTTTGATGATTTGGCGAATTTCTTTCATTTTCAAACCAAACAGAACGGGATTTAATGATGAATTTAGCATCACTAAAACGGTGGAAAATTGAATGGTTCCTTGAAGTACAACATTTGGGCCAGAAATAAGCAACACAGTCAAAATGATCCAGTACGGCAAGTTACAAAAAAGAAACACTAAAAACACATACAATACTTTGAAAGCCAAATTTACGTTTCGTGCCGAGTTTGTAGTGTTGGACAAATGATGTGCTGTCACTTGCGCTTGACTTTGGATAGTCGCTTGATGCCGGCGAGCCACGGAGTAAACTTTGAAGTTAACGATACAGAGTGAAAGCATACCAGCATAACCAACCACAAGAAGCATTATCTCTCCAACGCGAATTTCAATGAAGACTACTACAAACACAATCGATAGCGAAAATACCCATGCGCTGGCGACAACTGCAATGATTCGTTTTGGTGTAACAAGCTGGTTATATCGAAGATGCAAAGTTATTGATAGGAAGCGATCAATACCGATTAGAGTTACTACCTGGAAGGATACAGAGATCAAAACAGCGGAAATAACGAAAAACGCCATCAGTACTTCTTGAACATGTTTACACTCGTGACTTTGTCGAATTCGTGCGACAACTGCGATGTACAATGGATGAGTGAAGAAGCCACTGCTTAGATCAGTCACAGCCAGGCTTTGCATCAGAATTTTTGCTGTAGTTGGAATTGATGAAGCTTTTTGTAGGGCGAAAATTATGGCTGCATTTCCAAAGATTGCGGTGAAAGTTAGTAAACCGTTCAGAATGCACATGGCGATGTAAACCGAGTCAAAGTGTTCAGCCTTGGCATAAAACTTGAACAGGACTTCCTCACAAAGATCGCGTGTTACTCCCATTTGAAATGAAGCAACATTACCTTTGACTTATGCAAGTTGTACAAAGCTTTCCACACAATAAAGTTTTGTTTAATATGGAAAACAGGTGCAGTTGTTGTTAACTATCAGCCTAATTAAATTCAAGAAAGTTTTAGCTAATTTCGCGTTTGCTCCCCAGGCAAAGTCTCTCTTTAATTCTTGGTTTGCGCAGCTGATAGCGAGTTTTGTTCCAGAAGGTTTTACAATATCATTGCTGAAACAAATTAAGTTTATATAAATTCTCCACACTGTTTATCTTACAAAAGATGAACGCAGTTTTAAGGTCAGTCGTTTGTAATTATTTTCGGTAAACAAGACGTTTTGGCGTCAGTTAATTGGCGTTCGGCTTGCCTTTAGTCAAATTATAATTTCTAATTGTTTCCGATTTGAAGGGACGGTGCTAAAATTAATTACGAAGAAAATTAATGAGTAGGAAAAGAAACAAAATGTCGTATTAGGCGACAACAAAATTTTACCGGCCACGTTTGAACACGAATCTAAGTCGCTAGCACAGCTTAAATTGAATAGCGTTCAGAAAATCCCCTCAATAAATGGCCTCACGGCCTTTAATGTGAATTTTCCATGTCAAATTTTCCGCCAGCTTTGTTTCCAAGGAAAACAGCTGTTTGTCAAATCCTTAAAAAGAATTGGAATAAACTTACAGAGTCTACACGGGAGTTTATTAAAAGACGGATGAAAAAAAATTTCCTTACTGACCGAGTGTAAAGAACGCGCTACGAAATATTGGCCAAAGGACCTATCAGACCTCAGCCTCGGACTTTTATGTTTCATTCTAAGACCCTCCAGCTTGATTCTTGAGAGGTTCAAATAAATGTTCTTACTTTAATACTAAGGTTGTTTGTCAATCTTCATTCAATTTACATATTCACCATTTTCCAATAATGATAACAAAGAAAAATGCAAAGATCAGAAAGAAAAGACGAAATGGTGGAATAGGAATTGTTTAGCATGCATATTAACTTGATTACGTTGTGATCTGAGCCTGGCAATTTGTATCAATCAAGTCTATGATTAAGACCTATGTTGAAATTGGTGTTTTTAGTTAATGAAATATTCGAACTTGGACTTACTGGAATATCGCAATGTTCTTGACACATAACTCAGCCCAACCGATTGGAAATCTTGATTCAATTCCTACAAAAAAACATCATGCAAACGACACGATTCTAAAAACATATTGGCTTTGAAATGATCAGAGTTTTCCAAGCGTGTAGATACTAGTATCTAGGAAATCCCTCAACCTCGACATTTGGAAAAACAGACAGCATGTCATATTTTACCGATGAGATCAAAGCAAAGAAAACTTTGCTAGAGAAATGGCTTGGATTCATTTAATTAATTTGAAAATTCATATTTCTCTCTCTCTCCATTTTACAAATCAATAATTTACTCTTCGACTGTGGATAAGAGACTTCGCAGTAAATTCATTTAGCTTCTTTGAAAGCACTCTACATTAATTGTAACAAATTTTGACGATGGTAATCAGTCATACATGCCAGTCGCAGGCTCATTTTCCGTCCCTCTCAAGTATTCTTGCAAATTGAACATCGCCTTAATATCGTCAATTAATGAATCGGTCGATTGTAAATTGTCAGATAACTTAAAGTCACAAGATGTTAATGAGAGTCCAAACCTTTTTTTTCCACGACGAGCTGTCCCTAAAATGTCTTTGCGAAAAAAATATACAAAGAGCTGAAGAGCTTCATATTGGTCATAACTAATAGAACTTCAGAAATTGAGAGCCGTAAATTTTTGATCATGGCAACTAAAGAGTTGATTTTTGAATCACCTATTTCCGTGTTTAGGTAAAACAATATTTTTGAGGACATCTGTTTCCAGCGTTGCTTCGCTGCAATGGCGTTGGTGGTTCAAATCCGCCACAACGCGGTGAAATATTTGTGCTATGTAGCGCCAGAGAAAATTTTTATTGTGTTGTTTGACGTTCCCTGCTTTCACAACAACAATGAAAAAAATCAAAGAAAAACAAAAGCAAAAACCAAATTTTAACAACAAAAAGGACTTGTTCTGAAAGAAAGTTATGTCAGTTGAAGTTAATTTATCCCTCTTTTGAGAAGGGACATTTCTGCTCAGGAGACACTTTCTATAGTCCTAAGGTGTTCCTTTAATGGAGGCTTCTCTGTATCATGACTTTATTCCTCTTTCACTTTACATTACAATAGGGACATCCTTGGTTTTCCCAATAATTGCACGTGGATATTCCGCTAACGACATCAGGTTTCTCCTCTGGACATGTTGCTCGTCTCATTATTTTGGCGATCTGTTAATGGAGGGAATTGGGGAGCATATTGGTCGACACCAATCAAAAAGGATGATATCAAGGCAAAATGTTTTGAACATGTTATTTACATACTGTTACACTCCTGATTAGCAGTTGTAACATGACAATGCACGACATTGTCCACAGGCTTTCCTCGGTTCTCAAAATTGTGTTGGGTCAAGAGGAAACAATGATTTCCCATTATTTTCTCTTAGTTGGGTCGAATACACTTCAGACCCTCTCCCCCCCCCCCCCCCCCCCCCCCCTTCCCTCGAAAAAGGTCTGGTTCAGTCCGAAATTACCTTCAGGCCCTGTAGTTAAAGAGCATCATCACACTATCTCATTGGATCTATATTTTATGCTTACCTTTGGAACAAACAGTACGAGGAGAGTAAATGTGGAGATGAAGTTCAGTGTTGTAGCAATCAGCGCGTATCTGGCTTGGATATGAGCCTCTCCGACAACATAGTACAGAGGAACGTTTATCAGACTCATGATCACGACATTATACACGCTCATACCGATGTATTTGGAGTCATTCAGTGATGGGAAACTGACGTGTCTTGTCTCCCAAGCCAGAAAAAGCCCCAAAGCCAGTAACAAAGTTTTCCATATCACCCAGAGACTCAACCATAAATTCTCATTACCAGAAGTGCATATTAGGACTTGTCTCTGTGTGATCACGTTACCATCTGGGGATATTTCCTAGTCATTAAAGTGAAACTCTGTCAGGAAAACTAGTTTAAGAAGCCTCGGTGGACATATTTATTGTCAGTCGACTGATAGTCAGACGATACTCGATCGCTAGTCGACCGACAGTCGACAGCCGATTGTCGGCAGATGTAGCAGTCGACCGTCACACGGCCATCGGTTCATAAGCGACTCATTTCCACTCAATCAATTGCCGATAGTATGTCGATGGTTTATTGCAGGGTCGAGTGTCATGAAATATTGGGAAAGTGACATCAGAAGGGAACTTAGTCGTTGTTCACCAACAGAGTTCTGTGTATTTCCTCTAGTGGTTAGATGGTGGGGAGGGGTTCCTAACGAGTCATGTCACTTTCCTTTGGGGGGAAAAAGTTATAATTTAGAAAAAGACAGAAAGCAAAACTTGAAGGATCTGCATCATAGAATTGAAGAATGCATAAACTTTTTAAAGCAATTAGTTGAAGTGCAGGCATCTGCCTTTTCTGTTTTCGAAACACCACGAATCTTTAAGAGGCTTTTTGTTCAACCTAGAAACTGCAAAACTGTTTATTTTGAAATTTCAACACAGTCCTCCTCCAGTAAATGATTCATTTATTTATATATCATGTTTGTTTAACGCGCGTTAAGACTTCCTACCTTACTTAAATGTTTCAGACTTCCGGCAACAGGATCTGATAGCTCCCATGCTGTTAGATACACAACGTCTAAACATACCAGTCCACAAACAATACCGAATAAGTGACGATCACGCAGGAAGTTCAACTGTGAACACAATAAACAAATGAATTAAACTTATCAATATATGGAAAATTGTCCAAAAAGAACGTCTTGATAGAAAGTAGTTGAGAAATTCTGGGAGAAAGCAACCCAAGTCAGGAAGATTTTATAAGTTACGGCCTCAGACTGTTATTAAGTGTTATTTTAGGATCCACCTATTTGTCGACTGCTGACTACTATGATCGTTATATTCCGGCTGCAGGAACAAAATGGCAGAAAATTGCAGTAAAATGGTAAAATAAATTGAAATCAGGTTTTGAAATATTCTGGCAATGAAAGCCCAAATGGATGGAAAATAGACGACAGATTGTTTCGATTGATTGAGATAAGAGTTCTGTTTTGATTGACGTTTTCTTAACTGAAGTAATCTACTTCCTGGTAACTTAAGCTCTTTGATGGGAAACGACTGACCTCTTTGTCAAGATGCTTGTTGGTGAAAATTTTGTAAACCCTCCATGTTTTGACGAACATTGTGCCAAATGCCAGGCTAAATGTAAGAGAAAAAATCCACCATCTTGTCTGGAAGAGAAAAGAAATCCAAATCCAACGTGTATTAGCTTTTCTTTCTTTGCAGATTTTCCATCAAGCTAAACAAGCAGAACGAAAAATGGACAAATGAGTGGGGGAGGGGGGTGGGTGGGGAGAGATGTCCCTCCAACTACATACCTTACAGATCACAGTTTGTGTGTCGAGTGACTCGACAAACGTCTCAGCCCCAAACAAAAACACACAGCAATATGCCAGCATGCAGCCGATCACGATCATGTTATTGAGCCTTGGAGATGATTGTCTGATGATACTAAAGAGTAAAACAGTGCGATTAAAGGACTGAGTCACTGGGATTAAAGAATTACATTATCCGGTATTAGGTAATTAATCAGTTGGTCAGAATGGCTAATTTTAAGGTTTCCTTGTTTATTTCTGTGCTAATTCAGTTACCGTCACCTGTAATGTCTGTGGTGGCAATTGACGTAAAGAAATCCAAGAGATGACATTAAGCCCAGCATAGCCACACAACTCAACACATAAAACAAACTGCGACTAGTCTTTACTAGCGGCTCATTCACAAGATCCTTATCTCTTGGTGGGTTACCATCTGAAAATAACAAAAGTTATTGGTATTCGCGTGAAAGTGAGCCTGCCACCGAGCAGTTTATTTTACAGAGCCAGCAGTTTGCTCACATCGGTATTATACAGGGTGAGGGTTGTCTTGATCGTGATCCTGGACCAAAATTAAAAGGAAAAAAACAAATGAAAAGAAAAAAATTGTCTCATTTGCGGCGTTGGCGCGGCAATTCTTTCTTTGTAAATTCATAGACGCCATCTTGAACACTCAATTCTTTGGAAGGGTGTGGAGAGAGACAAACCCTCTACGAAGGGGGTGGCACACAGATTAGAAGAAGGGGTGGAACAATGATTTCCTTTCCTACCCCACCCTTCCCGTCTGCTGTTTACCAAAATCAAACAGGCAAACTAGGTAACAATTAGGCTATAACGGCAAAAAGCATTTAAAAAAAAAGACGTTTGAAATAAAGGTTATTATTTACCTGGCCATATAAACTTCTGTCCAGGTATCATGGTGAGCTCTCCATTACTCAGATCGTGTTTTTCCGGGTCAAAGTGACCAACTCTCACTTCTTTGTCACCTGCGAAAAAATTCTTGAATTTACTACGTTATTTTTGTCAAAAAGTCGATATGAAATTTAATTGCATTTTCATTTGATTACAGATCAAAATTTCTATATAAAGATGTTTACGATATTTTGAGTTTAAAGTTTGTCATGAGATTCCTCTGATAGCGTTTCTGGTAGTTTTTATACGTCATCAATTTAAGAAACGATGCACTGTTGGAAATGATTACATCATACATCGGTGCCACAGGAGATAAGATCAGGAGTACCTGGATTTTTTTTTTTTAATTCCTCCACTCACACCTTTATAACCTTGAGGATTATTCGAAATTTTAATTCTCCTTATAGTCAGTGTTTCGTTTGCTATTATCACCTTCGTGCCGGTTATCACTCTCATCATTATTACTTTACATGTGTTACCTTGAAACTGTTCGATCCATATTTTATTGAGTCTTTCTTGGTTTCTGTTGAAGTTTATAACTCCCTAAATGAAAAAGATCCAAGAAAAACAAACACAAGTAGATAGATAAGAAAAACATTTACTCGAAAAGCACGATCTTCTAACGTCTGCCTTTCGGCGCTTATACAATAAATGAAAAGTATTTATTCCTGATTTTCAGATATCCATTCGATCTATTTTGGGGTAGAGTGAACGTAACTGCTTTTTTCTTTCAAAGAACAAATTCTTCATCATGATCGTGATCGTTACCGTTATGCCGGTTTTCTGTGTCGTGTGCGTGATGGAAATCGTGAGCATCATCTTTATCGTTATCGTGATATTATATGATGATTTTAACTTTCATTGTGAATGATTGTAGTCGAGATGGTAATGGTAACGCTACCATATTCTTCAACAATCCTGATCGTGACTATCATCATTGTTGTCATTACTTTTTCATTGGTGATGCACTAATGGTTTATCTTCTTCGACTTTTTTTATTTCCAAAAATATGTCAACTATGAAAGCAAGCGTTAGCTGAAAACTCTGATGATATTTCACACAACCGGACTCACAGTTATCCCATAGGTCGAGATGTTAAGAAGCGTTCTCGACAGAAGTTGCGCAAACTCGGCATCTTCATACGAGAAGTTATCAACAGACTTGTTGTTTTTGTTCAGGTGCGTCATCGTCTTATTCAGTGCCAAGGCTAGTACCCAGGCTGCGTCATATCCTAGCGGAGCATACCCATTGGCGGAGTATGGATAGTGTTTAAGCTCTGCAGTGTACATGTCCATAAACTCCTCTGCGGTCTAAAAAGACAGTGCAAGAAGGGAAGAGAACTATGACTTCTATGAGACTTGTTTAAAGATACCTCATGATGAGCCTGAGCCATTTAACCCAGAGTCCAATGCACTCATTATAGAGCCACTCCTTCTCTCACCATCCTACGATGGGCTGAACTAGAACCCAAATCCCTCACTACGCCTCTCATTTCCGGTACAAAGCAAAGAGATTTGCTTTCGAAATTAAGGGATTCGTGTTCCGCGCTATCAACATTTTCGCAGTAAGTGACTCCTAAAAAGAGATGAACAATCTCCCCCTTCCCATAAGGCTTAGGTGGAACTTTCTCAGAGGGTCCCAATAGGGTGATAAATTTTACAGCTAACGGTGAAAATTTTGGCCAATTAATATTTCCAGTTAACAGTTAATATCTTTCCATTGTTCACACCAGAATTTTTTTTTAAACTTAACTTTTTTAGCGACTAACGGTAAAATTTGTCAATTTTTACGCCTAACGGCTAACTTTTTTTGGCTTTTTACGGCTCTCGGTTAACCCAATTGAGACCCTCTTCTAAGTGTGCGTGGCAGACGCTCGATGAAAAAGCGGAACGCGAGTGATTTAGACTGACATGTCCGAGGGAAAAGTCCTCTCTTCACTTCTGGTCTCTCCTGTGCTTCTTACTCGTGGTTACATCAGTTGTTCGCATTTGGGGCTAAAGGCATGCTTACCAGTCCACTTAGTGTGTGATTTGTTGCAGCGTCCATAACCAAGTCCTCCACAGCCAGGAAATTTGCTGCCGCGGTTCGAATGTCCTCAGCTGAGCAGCCTGGCACATCTACGACTCGCCACCAGTCCTTCGTGTACCAACCGGGTAAGAGCCATTGCACGTGAGGACCATACAGTTTGTGACGGTAGGCCTGTTGAAAATTATTAGGAAGCGTGATTTATCATTGGTCCTTTTAGTGTGGCCTAATGCTTTCCAAATAGAACGCATTGTGATTGTTTATCGTGAAACTATCACAAAGAAATCGCAACAGCCGATCACTCAGAACAAACAAAAATATAATGAAATGATATTGAGGAAATGCGAGGGTAAAATAATTAAATTGGATGCTAAATCAAACGTAGAGAGCAGCAAAGGAAACAATTTGAATCCACGATTCGTTTTGAAACTCCATGGGCTATAACTGTAGAACTGATGTTGGATGTGCAGTTAACCTTTTGACCCTTAAGGTTGACCAGATAATTTAATTTCTCCTTACACTATCAACCCCGAATCACTCAAGGTCACGAGAATGAAGAAATGATCACCAACTAAAGAAGCTCTCGTTTATTTTATAAAATCTCCTTGTCAGCCTCTTGGGAAATGTATAGAGAACAGTACTAAGAATATATATACTGATCAGTTGGGGTGTATTGGGTGGTATCGTGTCAGTACGTTTTGAGAAGCTGTAGAAGAATCAGGATGTGGTGAAACATTTTTGCTTACCGCACACATGATGAGCCTGGATTTATCTGCGTACATCATACTAATGATTATACGAGCTTTCCTTTCCTGTAACAGAAAAGTTTATTACATAGGTCAGGTTCATTGAATTTTTAAAGTGATTTCTTTTTTATTTTCTACCACTGTCGATCGCATGATTTTTCGGTTCAGGCTAGACCTGAAAAGTTTTGAGTTCGCGACAGTGAATGACTTTTTCGATAACCCCAGCGGGTGCGGAAGTCATCATTAGAACCAAGTGAAGAGTTGTTTGTCAGTCGCTTGCAATGAGTATGGTTAGTGAAAAGTGACCGGTCACTGGTTTTGCCTTGATGATAGTAGCTGTTATAACCGTGAAATGTTGCTCACTTTCGATTCATTGCTAACTGTTGGCTGTCGGGTTAACAACTAGAAAGCTCGGTCAATAGCATGTTTGCGAGTCAATGATTGTGATTGTTGAATGTGATTTTCTAGTCACTCGATTGTGGTCAGTCAGGCTGTTATGGAAATTCGTGCCAGTCTCTCTAATGTAAGAAGCGTGGCAGTCGGAGAAGGTTGATTAAATAATGTCTCAGTGTAGTCATCAGTCTGTGGTATTCGTGGATCGTCCGGTTCACAATCCCGAGATACTTGTGAAATGTCAAATGCGAGACTAGTACCTCTTAGGCTGACGATTGATCGATCAACCGATAGCCTTCAGTCATAGAACAGTCTTTGATTGGCCTCACTATTCTTACCTTTAGATCTGATATGACATTATCTGGGTCCTCGACAAAGCTGTTTGTAGAAATCACAGAGATGCCTTGTGTTTTCAGTATTGTCTGAAGATCCTCATGAGCCTATCAAGTAACAAGTGGACACAATCAAAACTATTACGATATGGTTGTTATCATCTTAACATATATCAATTTGCTTTATGGAAATCGTAACCAACGGTTTGTCTTCGTTAAGCATGTTGTGAACTGTCTAATAACTAGCCTGCCAAATTTAATTTTGAGTTTGATCTCTTTCGAATCAGCAGCTTAACCCTTATCAGCCCCTGTCTTAACGAGAATCTTGGAAGGTGAATCTGCCATAATGGCATCATTGACTGAGGGTGAGGTCAAGAGGGCTGCAGTCGTCTGTCTTTTATGAACCAGGAGGGAGTCTTGATATCCAGAGAACAACAAATGAATTAGCGAGCTTCGTCGTGGCCCATTATGCTTTTAGTTTCTTATGTTATTGTAAAACCTCACAATTTTATTATAAGGAATTATCTTGCTCAGAATATACTGGGCTAACAAGATATGCCAATTTTTCTCTCACAGTATTCCTGTCTGAACACAGGACTTGCCCCGTCTTGCCTGATGGGCGCGTCCGAGAAACCTAATACGCGCGCATTGGCTATCATAAATCTGTAGTGTGTATATATATCATACGTCATTGAAGAGATCCTCATCTTGTTTGACAATAGCAATCCGCTTCCAACCAAATCTGCGCAGCAGTGAGACAACAGCCTTGTTAAGAATCGTTTCCGGGGCATTGATTCGGAAGAAAAGTGGATACCGGGTTTTCTCCGAAAGGCGCGGTGACCCAGCACTGAAACCAATCTAAAATGAAAGAGACAGTGATGCCATCAGAATCCCCTGCAAGGAAAGTCGTGAGACGGACCATTGATAAATAGTGTAAATTCGGAAAAGTAAACAGAAATAACTAGGTTAAGGAAAAAAAAAAGGGATAAGGAACACAAGGGAACACAAGAGAATTGAGCCGACTTCTCTTTGAGATAGAAATGTATTATATTGGTTTGCGTTTGAACGCTTTCCTGGAAAACTAGATCCTTTTCAGCAATTGTCATCAGGAATGATTTTCATTTGGCCACAATGAAAGTGTGAAAATTCCCTAAATGGCTCATGGGCTATAAAGAAGTTTTTTCCTTCGGTATTGTATCTCATTGTTATAAAATCCACAAAATGATCATTCGAAAGGATCGTTCACCAGTCGCTCGAGACATACTTGAACCGTTCTTATGCCCCAGTGATTAATAACGATTCCTTATGTGTTTCACTTCAAGAATGTGCATCTTCGATAGACGCTAATTCTACCCTACCAGATCCCTCTCGTTGCTAACCTGAATCAAGTTCCAAAAGTGAGACGCAGCTGCCACAAGCACCGCTGAGATTGAACATCCGGGACCTATTAGGGCCATTTTTGTCGGTGGTCTTCGCAACTGCTCGATCAGCGCTTTGATAGCATAAGAATCTGAACACTGAAAGAAGGAAAACCTTTGAAGACGGTTTTATTCCGATTGCTTCAGGGAAGACAACCCTGAACTCATCACAACAAAGATTTCAATTGATTATATAACTCGATTTAGGGAGTGTGCTATTATGATTTTCAGACCAGTATGAGTTCACATGGGTAAGGCGCTCAAGCGGAAGATGTGAAATCGTGCTGCAGGATTGTGAGATAAGCACTCCTGATTGTCACGGTGATACTTAAAGTCAATGCCTGCAATACGTCTTCTCAGGGGGGATCAGTCCGGGTAGGCTTTTGTAATCAAGAATGAAAAATTTTTAACACGCTCGCGCTTGCAGAATTATTAGTCAAAATAAAACAAAACAAATCATCCCTTCAAATTATGCTAAAATTTTATTCTCAAAGGAGAGGTGACAAAAAAGCTCTTCAAAATAAGAAGAAATATTTAAAAATCCACTGCAACGAAAATAACAGAGACTTGAAGCATGAAGCGGTTCGGGGAAAGGTGGAGGTTTTAGAGTTAAGTGTCTTTGAGCGATTGTGCCTTTGTCCAAAAAAGTAAAACTACTGTTTCAATTTGTTAAATTTTGAACCCAAAACAGGACATCTATACGACTCTGTTCGCTGAGTATTGCAGGAGATTACCTTAGTATCCCTCCAGTGTATTAGAAGTGTATGGTTTGGTAGAATGTCACTTCTGTTATTAATCTGCCTGACAGCCAGATTAATGGCTGGTTGTATGCCTGCACTGTTCCAACCCTTGTTTGTAGTATTCACCTCAATAAAGCCTCCAATATGCAATATAGACTTCTTACAGAGCACTCCTTTCACCATTACACATACCAAGACCTTAAGAACCAACTCCATGGCTCAATCACTGGTAAAAGATTCTAAAATACGATTTACGTCTCATTTCTTTATACAGCTCTGTTCACTCTTCTGATTAGGATTCTAATAATGTTTAGTTTTTGTTGATCTAGGACTAACTGCAGCTGCTCGAGGTTGTCTTAAATGCCGCTAAGCCGGTTGGCTTATAATGATTATTACGATCTTTAAATTCATCACAGAAGGGCAAATAACAGTCAGAGTATTATTGTTTGGCTAGATTCGCTACACGTCTAACGCGTGTCTCAAAATCTCGTGCAAGCAGCTTATGTTTTTTTCTTCTTTCAAGTTCCGTCGCTCGTTCGAAGAATTAGAGCTTTTTAAAGCAAAAACTAGCCTGGATAGCTTTGCTGAAAGCTGCTTCAAGTCAAATATCGTTATGAAATACGAAATAAATTCATTGTCCTACTGCACCTCAAATCGATTTTGCCGGCTTGGGCCAGGGGCTTATCGAAGGCGCATGCTTTACCATAGAGCAATTAAGGAGATTTTTTGCAGCTGTTATGCCAACAAACCTCCCATTTTTCGAAACGGAAATCTACTAGTTTACACTGAGAACAGCAATCGTCTGTTCTGTATAAATTACATAACTGCGTAAGGTTTGTAAGCCAATAATTTTTAGAGTAAAGAATCATGGATTTCAAATGGCAGAATGAATTTGTTAGAATTATCTAAACTGGGTTCCAACGTGTGAGAGAGGAACTTACTCAATTAATACAAAATAAACACCGCCGTTTATCCACCTGCTCGTGAAACACAAGCTCAGGAAACCTTAAGGTACACAAACGATATGCGGTTAACTTGTGCAATTACAAGTCCACAAGCTTTAGGGCCTTAATGGTTTTCATTTAGTCTCCTCGCCATTCTGTTTTTTTTTTGTCTCAACCAATTGCTGTAAACTGTTGTAATTTTATATGTAATGACGAATAAAAAAAAAATTAAACAAATAAAAACATTAAAACAAAAAGTACAATATCTCTGCCTTCGGGTGCAAATTCTTTCGTGGGAAATGTTAGTCATTTTCTTCGTAATTCCGTTTTACGACAAATAAAGTGATTTCCTACTACTCCACTGGGAATTTTTTAATCTGCACGTGATCGTCAGTATTCCTGGGGTTAATTTTGGTTCATACTGATAACATGGCTATTTACTGTTTGATCCAAATTCTTAGAGCCTCATTCATGCCAAGTCGAATGATTTAATTGAAAACCATTTGTATCAGTTATCGGTTTTCGGTCTACCACTTTACAACAAATATGTTTTAATTATTCATAAATCGCGGAAATTCTCCGACATTCTTCTCAAAGTGGTTGAATTTGGAAACGCTGGCTCTAAGGTTTTCGTTTGGGCGTGAAACTGCTCTGGGCCTTTCTCTGCGGAATAATTACAACCTTTTAGTGCGCATGGTTAGGGTTGTATTGAAGCATTTCTGCCGCTGGTTATATATGAGGTGGGGATTTTTTTTCCTTTTAGCATTAATAGCCTTGTGTTCCACGGGCGTATTCTATGGATTCTTTTTTTTCACGCAGCAATATCATTTTTGGCACTGTTGTGAATGTCATTGGCGGTTCATGTGACCTAGGTATCAGATATCTAGCCTATAGCTGTCCAATGTGGTCACGGGTGCCATGATACTGGGAAACCGAAAGAGGTTACGTTATGAATTGCAGTTAGCTAATCAAGGCGGAAGTATTTCAAGGTGCGGTATCATCAACAAAACAGGATAATTTTCAATATCAACTAAATCAGAGGAACTGAGACTAATACACTAAGTCGAGGTTAACTGGTAAACTCCACGGGAATGGTATGCAAAAAAATGCAACTGTAGTGATTTTTGGACTGCTGTTCAAAAATCATGAAGTTGATCACACAAGTCAAAAATATTTCTTCAGTGGCTTCAGACTGATAAGAAATGTCGAACAAAAATTTATTTTTATTCCCCCTCTTTTCTCGACCAAGTTTTTTAAGCCCCGTTCAAAGATATTGATCTTACGCTTTAAATAATAAAAGCAATCCAGGGTTATTTTGACTTTTTTTTTCGGTAGGTTCCATGATTGGACTAGAAAACTCGCTCCACATTCTCAACCAATCAGCTGCGAAATCGAAACAAATAGCGACTTACGTAGCGCGTTTTCCTGGGCTGAACTCCGATATTAGCATCGAGGCTCTAAATTACAATAATGATAATGATGGCTTTCATTCAGTGATGAGGAATACTCCACTTCGGAATGGACCATATGCATAAGTCAGGCTAGAGGCAACTACCACCAGAATGAATCAATGTTTGTCTTACGTCATATGAGAGTATGAGGTAATAGTGTTCGGTAGAATTTATGAGACCGCATACATGAGATTAATTGGGTTTAATTGGAAAAAGATCTGTTAGGATCAAGTTGGTTATTTGGTTCACTAGTCAGAGACACTTTCTTGGTCTGTTGCCTAATTAAAGTAAATGATACGGCTCAGTAGCCTACGTGTAGCCGTACCCTCCCCCTCATGGAACAACGGAAGGGAGCCTCTGGGTGTCTCCTCCTTCGCTGAAGAAATCTGGGAAGCTGAGGGTCCCTTGGAAGTTGAAAACTCTTGGGAAGCAGATAGGAGCATTGCGCGATGTGGTTACGTCATTCTAAAAAATTTTCATAATGGACTTAGCTAATTGAAAACACTATAAAGGTCGTTAAAAGGACTCGCGCTTTCCTTTGTTGTTTTTACCAATATATGTTATAATTGGCAAAAGTTATTAAGTAAAGTCCTCTTCACTGGCCGACCATGTTGTTTTGAAAACATGGTTAAGAGAATCTGAACAATGATCAGTGACTCCCTATGGAGGTTCTTACAACTTAAGTAAGTGCTTATTTCAGATGTGAATTTCTCGTGAAGGGAAATTTTTTTTCAGATTTGAAATGAGTGGCTAAAAATAACTCGAATTCTGTACACGCACAGATACTTTGAGAGATTATTCCTATCCCTGTATTATTTGAATTGTTGTCTTTGCACAACACGCAACTGGTGAAGGCAACCATGTAGTCCATCGTCTCCAACTTTGAATGATTTTAAAAGTACTTTCAGGGGCATAAATTAGAGTTGGAGTAAAAAAAGATGTTTTTGAAAAATGACTGAAATTTTTAAGTTTTGAAGAACACATTACAAATACCGCTTTTGTAAACATTTCGATGAATGTTACCAAGACGGACGTAAACACTTAATTCTTTTTCTTAGATGTGTATTTTTGACCTTCAAAATGATTGTAGAATTCTGAGGGGCCTCATGAACTGGTCTTGTTATTTAATATTCGTGATTAACCTGGTGATTAATAGGCCTCTCGTTTATGACATTAAGGACTGAAGGAAACATCTAAAAATCGTGCACATTTTAATGATTATTTTATTGCGCGCGCAAGTGGTCAACTGACCTGTTTGCTTTAAACTGCTGGTCGTAATGCAAAAATTCCTCATGAGTGTTAAAAAAAATTAACGAAAAATATTTAGTTTTTGCGAGATGTTTGCCGCCCCAAATCGAAAGCATAATTTGCGGTTGCAAACCGGAAATCCTCTTCTTAAAAAGTCATAACAGAAAGCGGTTGTCAATGCGGGATTTCATAATCCTCCAAGCAGCTTTCATCTCCAACAGATGACACGCCAATCACTTGTGGAATGACCAATCACCGCTCGGCGGCATTTGCCAAGACACTGGCAGGCTTCCCAAGCCGTCTGAGAAACAGAAAGGATGCCTAAGTATTTCCTGTGGCCTTGCGGGCGGTAAAAAACCCGAATGGAACCCATGAAGATCATAGAATAAAAGTCTCGCTGCATCTGGGTTGAAGAGCGGCGAACATTATTTATCGCGCTCAAGCTCCAGCAGATGTACTTCAGAGAAGTGTTTCATTAGACCAGCAGGCAAATGCTATAGCAGGCCTGCAAAAGATTATTGTGCTGTCTGGCGATGATAAAATTAAGATAACAGCTCTTTCAAATAGGGTGAAGTGTTCGGCCTTAATACTGTAGTTCTTCAATCTAGGCAATGTTTGTTTATGTACGAAGCCAGCTTATAGATAGCAATCGACCTTGTGAACTCATGTGTTTTAAGCCTTTTACCGCGCGTCTTTTATATTGATTTTTCCGCCTTCTTGCAGATAGATCCAAGATTGAAGAGCGAAGTTAATTTTTTGTTTTCGTGACTGCGGAAGAAAACTTAAGTGTGAAATTAGTAGAAGTATAACATCTTTTATCCTTTACTTTATCACAAAAGGTGTTATTGTATAATTGATTTTTTTGTATACAAGCGAAGTTTTGTTTCATCGCCTCGGGGCGAAATAGGCGGTACTCTATGGGATGAATAAATCTTTATTCTGGAAAAAGTCACTCATATAATCGCCCTTGAAAAAAAAATACAGAAACAATTTGCGAGTATCTTTCCTAAGACAGCATTTCCCAGGAGATTTCCCTGAGAACATTGATCGTGCAATATAAACTCCCAAAATCGAAGGAAAACATACATCATCACGTCCCAATTTAGTTTGTTTGATGCTTTCAATTGTCTCCGAGTGTCACCAATTCACAGTAATTAAACTAATTAGGCCTGCTGCTCTTATCGCAGTGCCAGAAATTGACTGAGGGAGGTCATGATTGGTCAAAGTTAATTGCTTCAGCAAACTTCAAAGTAAGTGCCGCCGGATCCAACCCATAAGACGTTGCGGGCCGACCAGCTTCCCTCGTGAAAATTGATGAGGGAGTTTCTAGCTAGATGTGTTGGTTTGGTGTTCTCCTATTACAGTTTAGCATTTTCCACCTTCCTCTCACAGGTTGAACGGACTGTATATAGCATCCTTGGTACGGAAATGTGAGCTTTAGCTGGGTGGAGGTTTGATTCGTCCGATTACAAGCACCATGCGTGATAATGACGTGAATTTACGGACATTCTCTGTTGCAGGGTGCGAGGTCTCCGTAGCTTAGATCGACGTACGCCATGTAAGACGAGTCCTCTGGTTGAAGCGCGAGTTTTGATTGCAAGCGGTGAATGGTGAATTAAGGTAAGTTGAGCACTTCATTCGCAACGTAACTGTATAAAAGGATCGTCGATGCTATTTATTTTTATACGGTGTCGTTTGAGCCTTGACTTAAGAAACACGTGTGAAAAGACCTCGAGTGACACCTTCGAGCTAAAGGAGCGCGTTCATCCTGCAGAAAGGATAGCGTCGTACTTCAGCGCGTTTGTGTGTTTTTAATCTTTCCTTTCGTAGAGATGCAGAGGTTTTGACCGAGATCCTTCGTTTGTGATAGGAGCTCTCTCTGGAGGGGAAGGAGGAAGCCCGTTGAATGCTTGAGTGAATTTCGATTGTAGATGACGTTTGCGTTTGCAAAGTGTTTGCGGCTAGCTATACGGGCTGAATTAAACCTGAATCAATATATTCACGCTGGCAACTGACCGGTTTATTTTAAATGCCATTCATTAGATTTGCGCGTAGATCTCAGTACCATAATCTAGGTATTTCCCCCTATTCAGATGAGTTTATGGCGTTTAATCGGAGCAATTTTAGTTAATTTCCTTTTGTGGTTGAGAGTGAGCATTGTAAACTTGCCTGAATGATAACTTACGGTCCATTCATACAACAACAATACACGTGTTTCATCATCAAGTCTGTTTTTACCAGTGAGATGCTGTTGTCTTAAAACTCTTTTGTTTATAGTCAGCATTATTTAGCGAGAAAGATAGCGAAAAATTCAAAAGAACTTTTAATCAAAAGTTTCGAAACGGGGAACCGCATTTTTATTCGCGCGTTCAGGTTTGTGGTTTTTCATTTCGTTAGCCTCACAAACATCCAACACTTTTCGGCAAATTTGGCATTTTTTATGTAATTTTCTTCTATGTTTAATCAGATGTGCGTCTCCTTAGTTTGACGTCTCCTTTGCGACAAAAAGATGTTAGCGAAGATCGCGGGAAACCGACATAGCAATTTATTTTAAAATTTACACGAATCTCACGCATTCCGTATCCAGCCAGATCATATAGATGGATAGAATACCACTAAATTGCTGTTATCGAAAAGTACTGTGACAACTAAAGTTTAAACCCGTTTGGATCAATCTTCGAAAATAATTCGAATATTGTAGTTAAGTTCCACATCCTGTCTCAGACAAAGGTAATTGCCATGAAATTAGCAGAGGACTTTTTTATACAAAACCAGAACAATTATTCACGCCGTTCATATTGTTCTTAATTGAAAGGTTTCTTTTTTTTAAGCCTTAAAGAATTAAACCAAAGAGAACAAGAGAGAATCCACGATTATTTTCCGCAGCATGAGTTAATTATTTCGCTTTCTAGTTATTGTCTGTAGTTTCGTCGTGCCTAACATCAACAAAGTGGATTTCTCCTCACAAGAAAACACACAAGTTTATTTTCATCTAGCGATGTTTATCTTGTGTATTACAGTTTCACAAGGAAATCCCCGAGCGGTTTTGATATTCGCCTAAGCTCTTTAATTGCAACATTTTAATCCGCCCTATTTTTTTTGCAGCTCTCTTTGATATATTCAACGGGCACCTTTCTTGTCGTTGACTTTTTGTCTTAAAAATTCGCTTTTACACGGTGATGCGGTCTTTCTCTCTTCCTTTTTTGTATTAAAAAGCGAAATACAATATAGTTCTCTTAAAACGTATGTTTCTTTTTGGGAAAGCATTTGCATTACATTTGAGTCTGAAAATTTCAATGCTCAGTAAATTTTTTAAAAAATAAATTGTGTTGTTTCTTTCATTGTATGCAACAAGCTGCTAAAGGAACTTCAAATTTATATATGTGAGACGTTTTTTTTTTTTTTTTTGACATTTTGACTTTAGGGTGCATCTTGATTAGGCAAACATTAGTTTAAAAGAACAGATTTTGTGTATGCTGTCAAAGGGGTGTTTATAATTTTGTTTTTAATCAAGTTCTTGGGAAGTCATAAGATTTATTCACTGAACAGTCCTACAGAAAAAAAGTTTGCTCAGCCACAACACCTGACTTCTGAATAATATTTGTTTTCGCCTTTTGTCATCAAATGAATTAACTGTTGTGCCCTGGCCAAAATTTCTTTCATCATCCCAGGAGAAAAATGTTTAATTTGTGTCATTACTGAGGAGATTTACTAGCAAGTGATAGAGAATTAGTAAAGAAAAAAGAGAACACATCAAGTACATTGAAGATTTTCCTTTTAATTTGATGAGAGAGCTTTCTTTATTGGGTATTTACTCACATTGGACAACTCAGCTGTTATTTAAATGATGGCAGTGTTTCTGTTGGTTTTTTGGCTTGCTTCATGTAAACAAGAAATGAAAAAAAAATATAAAACTATGTTAGCTTTGGTGCAGTCTTAAATTTGTTTTGTAGTTACAAAAAAACAGATTTATTTTATCTTGTTTCTAAATTTTATAGTGAAACAAGGTGAAACTTTGTAGCTCTGTCGATTTTTAGTGAATGGTTCAGCATTACGTGATTAGCATATGAGTGCAGTCTTTCCTGTTACAATTAATCATTGTTTAAGGCGAGTTAGATTAAATGCACTGTACCTTTAAAATCAATATAGGAAACAAAGTTTAGTAACATTGAATTATTGACAACTTACATGTATGACTAATATTACCTGAAAGCCTTTTTGCAAAGTTAAAATTAATTACTAAATTTGTGGTGTTATTTCAGAACTTTTCCATTTATGTTTTCCAAATGAATCACCATCTCAGTGTTGATATGTTTCAAGAAAGCTTGATTTTCCATGTTCACCCCAGTAGGCTTTCATGTGGTTTTAGTTATGTTTAAAAATTTTAGTTGTCACTAGATTCTGATTTTGTTTCTGACAAAAATGCATCAAATCAGGGTTAAGGAGATTGACATTTCATGTTGAGAAAGATGTAAGCCTGAAAACAAGTCTTAGTACCAGATAGCTTACATTTGAACAACCTCCTCTGCTGAAAGAAAATAAGTATCAATTGAAGTATCATACATGCTCTATTGAGCTCCTTGGGAGGTTACTTATTTGGAGAGTGGTCAGCTGTGCAGAGGGCTCTTTTGAAAGAGAGAGAGGAGTGATCTTTTTGAGAAAAAAGATCATTGAAATAAGTTTTTTGAAACTGGAATGCTACATTTCCCAAACCAACAACATTACCTCAATGAAATAATTTGCAGAGCATCATCATGGCATTTTAATTTTCCTCTTGTTTTTATTATGTATATTTTGTTGAGGGAAAGGGAAAAGTTAAGGACAGGGAGAGAGGTTAATGGTGAGTCTTTTGATGAACTATCTCAAAACTCTAAATGGGAAAATAAAACCATTTAAGTGGTAAATTTCCCATAGAAGAAAGGCTTAACCAGTCCAATTTTTAAAATAATACTTGAATGGCACTAACATGAAGCAGTTGATCTCTATCATAACACAGATGTCAATGTATCTGACAACAATAAGAAAAGTACTTTTCAGAATCTTTAGACAGACAGTAAATTTTGAAAAGAGCATTAAATCCTTGAGAAAGGAACAAATGTTTAATCTGCTCAGACATTGCTTGATGTGTTGCCTAGCTGTACTACTAAAGAATGATAACAATAATAGTTCTTGTAAAGCATTCAATGTTTGTGATCTTTGAGCAGTTACAGAATTGTTTAATGTGAGTTAATTTTCAGAGGTACAGTTAGCATTAAACATTAGCAACTGATTATAGGCATTCATAAGTTGTTTTGTGGGTTAGATCTATTTCACATGGACTTTATATATAGCAAACTTCTCCCACAAAGTTAAATGATAAAAAAGAACCTGTATTCAATGCACACATGACAATGGAAGTGAAAGTGGACACCAAACTTAAAAGCTTTTGTAATGTGAAACCTATGTTCTGGTAATGGCACAATGAGAACTCTCAGTTTCATTTTTAGCCAAGTACAGTTTAACAGTCCTTGTACTTAGAGGACATCAAGGAGAGTTCAACAGGTGTCACTGAATATGATTATTTTAAAGTTACCATAATTATCATTTTGTTGAAAGTTTAATGTAATGATTGTGACTTGCATGTCTGGTTGATATTAATTATAATTAACCCAGTTTTATTCCTTCAAGTTAACTGCAGAGGAGAAGTAGCTGAAAGGCCAAATGTTTCTTTGCCCTCCAAGATACATGTATTTCCCATCAGTGCGATCCAAGGTATAACTATGTAAAAAATTTAAGCTATTAAAATATTTTCTTAAATTAATAACTTGTCATGATAGTGTTTTTTAAAGTGAAACAAAGTTGAAGATAAAAAATGATACGTAAGTAAATTCAGAGGAATGACGTGGCCTTGTAATGTGAAAGAGGTTTCATTGGTAACAACTTCAACATAAATGTTAAATAGCTTAAAATATATTGTAAAAAAATGGTAAAGGTTACATATGATTTTAATTCCATTCTATAACTATTATAATATTAGACATGTTGAATTGCAGGTCTGTTGGTAAAGGGCACTTGTGACTTTTCTTTTTTTAAAATCCCTCATGTAAAAGACAGTGAAGTACGATTTTGATGTTGCTATGGCAACTGATTTTGACATAATTTGCATCAAAATCTTGAGCATTTTTTTCCTCAAATGCTCTTTTTGAACACCTTAATTCATCCCTCACACCTGCTTAGCAGCTTCCATTTGCATTTTGATAACTGCTTGGTCATTTCACATTTCTGTAACTCAGAAGTTTACTGTTAGCAAAAAAAAAAAAATGTTTTCCTTAATGTCATGGTGTTATGGTTCCCGATTGACAACAAAAGTTTCTTGTAAACAGCTAACCTACACCAAGACACCTAACAATCCAATTTGGCCAAGAGGTGAACTGTTTAGTAACTGTTGAGTTCTAGTTTATCAAGGACTTTCTTTACTGAGTACACTCAAGGGTTGCTCTAATGTGCCAGCATATCAAGCAAAGTCTCTATGAATTCAAGAAGATGGTAGAGAAATTATGAGAATCATAGCCTTGGTTACACCAATTGCTAACATACTCATTGGACAATCATGTCAGCCAATATAAGATAAAAGATTTTGTAACACTCAAAATTTCAACTTTGAAATTGATTTAACTATTGTTTTTGTCACATCAACATTTGGTGGTGTTGCAGTCTTTGGCACCCCAGCAATATCTTGTTCCTTAATTTTCCAATGGATGAGAATTATGATGATCTACATTACCTTGATGAGTTCAGAGTTCAACCAAAACAAAGATTAAGCCACTCCATGGGTACATGTTGAGGCGAGGTAAGGGGGTCTAGGGATGCACTTGACCCCCACCACCTCTGTGAGATAATTCTCTGGTTAAGTCTTCAGCTTAGAAAGCTTGTAACATTGGTTTGCACAAGAATGCGTTAATCTGGAGAATCTTCTGGGATAAATCTCATTTCATACTTGATGCTCTCCATTTCCTGGTCTTTCTCACTGTGTGAATGTAAGCCTGCTGATACACAAAATCAAACAGCCCCTTAGACATATCCAAGCTTTACTCCTTCATTTGTATGTCTCAAGGGCTTGACTTAAATAGGCTAAGTAATTCTTCCCCCACCCTCCCCCTCCTCTCAAAGCCAACTTGGACCTCTTTGTTTTGTTTCTCTTGACTTTATATTGACATCTTTTCTTAAGGAGGATGGCTTTATTTTGTTAAGGAAGTCTTAATGAATCATTCCACCTTCCAGGGGTGGTTTTTATTGTTTTTTTTTTTTTATTGCTGTATTTTTACTTAAAGAATGTATTAATGTGCTGCAGGGGATGGCAACCGATCAAGTGCAGTCAGAGCCGAGTGCTTCCCTTGAAGCAATACCAGTAAGTTGTCAGTGAGAGATGAAAACATTTTATCAGTCTGTTAATGTTATGTTCTTCATATTAACATTAAGAAGTATAATAGGATCAAGATTTAAAATTGTAATTGCATTTGAAGATCTGTCCCACAGACCAATCTGCAGCCAACTGGCATCAGTCCAGATTTTTCTCAAACATAATTAAGCAAAGCTTTATTGTAAGGTTGGGGTGTAAGCTTGTACAGTAGCTGCAAGAGCATTTGTTTATAGTGACTACAAAAAGGTTAAGTTCTGTTAATTTTGATCAGCACCCTTGATTTCCCAACTAATTGTTCACAATTATTTTGACTAGATGTTGAAGTGATAAATGCACAAAAGTAACATAGTGACTTGACATATTTTTCCTAGGCTAAAAGGCCCAGACAAGAGAATGGTGACAATGAAAAAGACAGGTGACTTTTTTTTGTATGGTAAATAAGACTGTTAGTGGGCAAAGTTGTTCTAATCACATATTTATTATATGTTTGTAACAACATAGATATGTTTCTCAAGAGAATTCTTTGGTTGATTCAGGCTCTGTGACATAAGTTGTGAGAAAGAATTAGTAGTCAGGTTTAGAGTATTGAAAACTCAGGGAAGTATCCTCCTCTCATGTTTTATTATCTCTTCCTTAGTGATGAGTCCAGCAATAATGGATCACCCTCGCAACAGCCTGTCAATGGTTCATCAAGAGACGGAAAGGCAGTTAATGCCAATCAAAATGCTGACAAGAATGAGTCGTCTTGGGATGTCAATGAAGCCACAATTACTGTAACTACTGCTGATCTTGATGTTGGAGCTCCTAATGTTGTTGCACCAGTTTCAACGGCAACACTCAGCTACCCCTCATCTGATGGTGCTTCCACCATGACAAATTTAGATGGATGCAACTTTGGGAATCAGGCCATTGCATCTGGCGTAACTGACAGCTCTGGCCAGTATCAACAGCTCTCTGGGCAGTACGCCGCAAATACTGCTGCCTACTATGGCCAGCGGCCTTATCCTCACATTGTCCCAGCACCCCAGCAGGGTATTCAGCAGTATAAGACAACGGGGGGTGTAATACAAGGAACGGGAATAACGCAAGTTGCTGGGTATGTGTATCCACAGGCAGCACCTCAAGGTGGCTACCCCATGGTACAGACTGTAAGATACCCTGCTGTGAATGCAACAGGAAAGACTTCTGTTGATTCTCGCAATACCTCTCAAGGGAAAGCCCCTGGGGGCAACATCCCAGATATATCAACTCTTCGTCAACCAGCAGGAACTTATGCTAATCCTTATGGAACTGTTACATACCCTGCAATCATTCAACCTGGTCAGGCTGTGTATACTAATCAATATCAAGCACCTTATGGGACAGCTTATGTAGCTTCAACAGGAACCCCAACTTCTAGTACCACAGCATATACTGTCCAACAGTCTGACCAAGGTTCTTTTCAATATGGTTACACTACAAGTAATCAGCAAACTTATCCATACAACTACTTGAATGCTCCTCCCCCAGCTTATGCTCCGTCACAATACATTACACCAATGAATAGTACACCGCCGCCTAATGCTGTCGCTGGTCAAAGCAGCGGTTATCAACTTACTCAGCTTGTTGCTGGACAGGCTTCTCAAGGTGTCACAACCAATGGAGAAAGGACGCACACTACAAGTACAGGTACTTTGACTGTTGTATTAGTTATTTATTTATCAATTTTCTTTTTTGTTCTGATTTTGCAATTCATTATTTCTTTTCTTAACTCTAGGTGATTTAAACCATTAGTCGTTTTCATCACCCAGTGCAACACCCAAGCTTTGCTTAAGAGATAATAAACTTCTGTTAATTCAAACCAATTCCTTTCCTCATAAGGATTTTGCCCTATCAGCTTTTTAGTATGAACCCTTGATGGCTTGTGTCTAGTGCTAGTTTGGCCTCTTTGTACTATATACGTGCACATGTATTTTATTTAGCCTCTCTCCTGTGTGAAAGGAAGGAAATGATGTTATGTATTGTATCCCTGAGGTTTTTTGAAATTGCCATTCTAATGGGAAGGGAACCTTTAACAAATTTTACGCGAGAGTCAGTGAGCATCACAGGAAGAAATCAGTTGGAAATTTAGAAGACTCAGGTGGAGGACTTTGAGGCAGGCTGTGAAACTTATTTCCCTTTTGACAAATTTAGACTAAATTTTGCAACATCTGCAAACTGTTTGATAGCTTGTTTGAAACAATTTTGTAGTTGTTACAGATAAACCTATCTCCCAGCTAACACTGATGAACTAACTTGTGAATAGCAGTTCTTTGTACTTTAAGTGTAAGAGTTACTGAAAGCCATAAGCTAAAGTGGGGCTTGGAAGAACAATCTGATTCCCTTCAACTTAAGGGAATCAGAGATATTATCATAAACGGGTATAGAAGGAGGAGGCAAACTCAAATTACAGTTGACCAAGTTAAAAACTTTGTACTGTGATTTGACATGGTTCTTAATGGACACTCTTGTCCTTCCTTGCAAACGTAAGGCGTGCTTTATCCCTCACAACAATAACAAAAATTCCTATTTAATCCTTGCAATCAAATGCACTGTTTCTAGCACTGCTACTCAGGCAGTGCTTTACTCTATGTCTTTTCAAAAAACCCTTCTGCTACCGTTCTTGACTGTGTCAACAAAATTGTTGGGTTTAATTATTTTGAAAGAAAACAGGATTGTGACTCCTTATACCAGGGTTTAGTTTTAATGCAGTGGGTTATTTCTTTGTTATCTTAAACAACTGCAAATTCTATAGGAGAACACTTACCATTTTCAGATTAGATCATTAATTACTTAATTTTTGCAAGTTGTTTTTTAAGTAAAGTTGGATGTAATATCATTAGGTATTTGCTTTGGAAAAAACAACAGCATCTGCAAGATGGACATCTTCAAAAATATGTTTGGTCTTTCTTTTAGTATGATGTTGTGGTATCTTGTTTTCAATAGGTTAGAAAAACATTTTCCAGTTTTAGATTCTTTATAATTTTTTTTATGAAGTGTTTTGTTGTTGAGTTTTGTTTTTTTAAACAAATATCATTTTTCCTTTAAATTAGCCTCCATTAGAAATGAACTCCACATAAATGCAATCTATAGAAAATGTCTTTTATTCTTCTTGTGAATATGTCAGTTTTTGTTTTGACAAGTTTTCATAAAATTTTAGACATCTGATGGTTTGTGACTACTCTACTCCTGTACTGCTCTTGAATGTTTTGCGGGATTGTCCAATATTGTGTGTATTTTATGGTTAATAGGTTTTGTCTTCTTTGTAAATTGTCCACTTCTTATTACTTGTAATCCCCTTTGAAATTTAAGTTTGGTCTCTAAGACCTTTAAGCGTAATCAACTTGCAGTAATATTTTTGGTTTATTGCAAGAAAAGACAACATCTTAATGGGTTTGGAGAGTTGTTTCTTTTTTTTCCTTTCTGTCTTGACACGTGTTTTTTAATGAGAGGGTTTGTTTAAACAGAAATCCATTTAATGGTACAAATGTTTACTTAAAATTCTAATGAATCAAATTAAGTCTCCTGGAGTGGCAGAGAAGCCATTAGTAGCACATATGTTGCATCTGATATGAATATATTTTATGTACATCTGCTTACTGAGACTGAAATGACTATGTGCTTGTTTCTTCTATAACTTTGAAGGTAACCCCATATTTGGATTCAATCTGTAACAGGATCTTGATTAGTAGAAAATTTTTTCCTTTTATTTTTCATTGTGCCAAAGAAGACAGAAACAGGAAAGAGTTTATTTGTTTTAAGTATACAGCTGTTGGCAACATTAAGTGAATAGGATGAGGCTGATCAAAATCACAATGGAATAACAACTTTACTTAAACTACACATGTACACAGATGTATCTCCATCTCAATTTTGGTGCTTGTTTTTGTTTAAATCGGGTAGGAAGCACGCAGAGTAAAGGAAATGAATTTTATCTTTATTTGAATTATGTGGAAGGATAAGCACTTAGAATTTGAATGTATTAATTTGTTGAAAGCTATGCTCGGCTATTAAGTTTGCTAAAAGCTTTACCATACATCAGAGTCTATGTACACCCACACATTTTAAAACAAATCATGCAAAGTTCTTTCAAGCTTTCAAGCATTTTTGCTCTTTACTCAATGTACTTAATCCTTCACACTAATGTGTGTGACATAGTTTAAAAAATATTGACTAAAGATGTTCCTGCAAGTTAGGTAAAATTAAGCTGACTGAACTAAAAGGCAGTGTTAAGTAATATTTTGCAACAGTTATTTTCATTAGGCTCTATTTTTATAAAAGATTAAACAGAAACAAAAGAATTTTTTTTTGTCATTTTTACAATGAAAGAAATAGATAATGCAGAGTGAAGAATTTCCTGCCATCTTTGGAAGGAGTGACATGTGAAATTTCTTGAAAGCTTGTTTTGTTGATTAAATAAGTAAAATTTTGGAAGTGTTTGTACCATTATATCTTTATGTGAATATATCAGAATATGTGAGAGTTAAAAAAAAAAAACCCCAACCAAAAAATAACAACCCAATGCAAAAGTAAAACCAAATGCATGTTAAGTTTTGAATTTTGCCCTCGTAACCATCCCACTTGCTGTTAAATTAAGGGTGTAGTCATTGGCAGCTCAAAACATTCACAAGATGGTGGATATGTAATGTTCATGGAAAAAGAAAATTATCATTGAACTTCATACCTGGTCTTGTCATGGACCCAGAGATGTTTGGCTGCTGTAACACAAGAAGGTGCAAATACTACTCTCATGGCATGAAAATCTCAAAATATTTTTGATGCTCTTCCTTTTTGCAAGCCATCAAAACATAGTGTATGCTAAAAGATGAAGGCTTAAGATAGAGGATTTAATACGCCAGCCACACTAGTGAACAGTGAAACCTGTAGAAGGGTTGATCTGTGAAACTTTCATTAGTGTCTGCCCTCTAGGGGCTGTTTGCCTAGTGAAGGTTTCATTAATTGCAGAGGGTTGGATACAAGCTCATTTTAGCTTCATGTTTGAATAAGGGGAGGAAGAGGAAGGAAGCTTGGGGACTTTGGCAATTGTTTTACTTAACCCTTTAACTCCCAAGACTCCTTATTGTCTGCCATATAATTCTTGTGATATTAGTTCAGAGAATTTGATACTGGATCAACTAATAATCCCCTAATTGATATCCTTTATTCTCATTGCTTCTCTGCTTGATATTGTTTTGATATTGAAAAGAGAAATTCTGTCTTGGTCACTCAATGGAGAAAAAGGGTTAAATGGCCACCAGGATGAGTTGGAGGAGTCCTGTGGTTAGGCACCTGATGCATGTTTCACTGATATTCAATGCTTTGTTTGGTCTGACACCAACATGGGACTTGGCTAAAAGGGGAACAACAATATTAGCATTGAGATTGCATCAGATTATTTTGTAGTAATCACAAACTGCTTTCATCTGCAGGAAATGCAACCATTCAGTATTCACCAAATCTTCCATCCTCACCCAGTCCTCCTCGCTCACCAGGAACTGGATCTGGAGCAGACACTCCTCTTATTAATAGTGTGGGTATGGTGTCGGCAAGCATAGGGATGCCTGGTGGACAGGATGGAGTACAGGTCCTTGTGGATTCAGGGGCTGGCTCCCCTGGAATGTTAGTCCAGGGAGCAAACAGAGGGCGTGGTCGAGGGGGAAGAGGTGGAAGGGGCAGAGGAGGTGGCAGGGGAAGGAGATCAACATCAGGTCCTCCCCCAGAGATTGACCATAACATTGAGGTATGCTCATGTTATTGGTCTTGTTGGCAATTGCCATAAGCCAGGTTTTGGTCCTGAAGGCGCTTAGGTGGTCACTACTTGCTTGGGTGATCTCTCAAAAGTGTTTGTTCATAATTATTTATTTCTAACAATTAAATTTTTGTCATGGTTAGATGTCTGTGACAATGATGCTAATCTTTTAAACCCTGTGTCCCTTCAAGTGAAAGTCTGAGAAGCTGGACAGATCTGATCACACAATCATTGACTCATTGTTCCATTTGATTGACTAGTTTTTATCATTACTTTATAGCGGATCTTTATCTGGGATCTTGATGAAACAATTATTATTTTCCATTCACTCTTAACGGGAGCCTTTGCATCAAAGTTTGGCAAGGTAAGTTAGATGGAGGAGTGAAGACTGAAAGCAGTTAATACTGTCGAGAACTCTGTGAGAGTAAGTGTTTAAAAATATTGTTGTTTGTGTCATTTATATTCTGAGTTGCAACATGCCCTAACATGTATCGTTAAATTTTATTCCTTTAGGATGCTCCTAATTCAGTGTCATTAGGCCTTCGAATGGAAGAAATGATTTTCAACTTGGCTGATACACACTTATTTTTTAATGACTTAGAGGTAAGAAGCCATAAAATCAGCTGAAATCAGGGAATTATCATGTTATCTTCAATCAATGCTAATGTAAATTGACCTCAATATTTTTTACTGGAAAAATCACTAGTTTTGTTACAAATGCGGAAATCCATATTGTAGCTAACTGACAACCATGTGTTATAGGATTGTGATCAAGTACATATTGACGATGTTGCAGCTGATGACAATGGACTAGATTTAAGGTGAGTCTCTCTTGTGTTGATGCCTTGGCATTGTAGATTGTATTTAGTATTCTAATGACATTCACTCCAGAACATCTTTGCCTGTGTGCAGTACCTACAATTTTGAGGGAGATGGATTTCATGCTGCAGCCACGTCAGCCAATCTTTGTCTGGCAACTGGTGTTCGAGGTGGGGTAGACTGGATGAGGAAGCTGGCATACAGGTACCGGCGTATCAAGGAGATATACAACAGCTACAGGAATAACGTGGGAGGTAGGGGATGGTTTTTTTTTAAGTATACCACAAAGTTCTTTATTGTGGAATGGACTTGACCCTTTTGTTCTCAAGATCTCATTAGTAATTATCCCTTCTGTTTGCCATAACTGTTGCAATGTTAGCTCTGATAATTTGGTATTGAACTAATAGATAATCTCCTAATTGATGTTTTTTCTTTATCCTCATCACTTATCTGAGAGATATTGTGTTGATGTTTTATGGAGAAATTCTGTTTTGGTCACTCATGGGAGTGAAAGGGTTTAAGAAACTTAGAGTAGTTGAGGTGATTTGCAACCCAGCAGCAGGTGGTTGGAACCAGCTTTGTCCACAATAGACAAACATGGAAAAGCAGAGAAGTGTTCTCTTTTCTTGGGCCAGTTTGTCTGAAATCCCTATGGAATGATTACAAAACTTTAGTGTGTCATGTCATTTGGTTTCAATTAGTCCAAACTAAACTATCATCCTAAAAGGGTAATTTGGTATTATAGCAGCTCTGATGAAGGGCTCGTGCTTGTAACATCAGCTGTGAAACTCTTATCAGTGGCCAATTAACATTACGTTGGTAATACTAAATGACCTTGTTAAACTCTCTGACCGACCTAGCACCACAGTTTCTCTAGAAACTTGTCCCTTTTATCATCAAAAAAAAACTTCACCATTATTTGTAATGTTAAAATTTATGGGATATCAAACAAAGTTCAAACATAAGGACAGAATTCAGACCCTCTGAGTGGTTCCAAAACTGAAAGAGGACACTGTTTAATCCTGGACTTCTTTGGAATATTTTAAAAACTAGCCCAGTGGCAATTCCGATTTTGACTTCAAATTTATTTTTGTGTTGTGTCTTTGAAGGTCTTCTTGGTCCAGCGAAAAGAGAAACATGGCTTCAGCTGCGCATGGAGTTAGAGGCGACAACAGATTCATGGCTGACACTTGCTCTGAAAGCATTAACACTCATCCATTCCAGGTAATCACAGGGTATTCTTAACGTGCCTGATCATGACACTTAAAGCATTATGATCAATGAGTCGTGGAGTAAAATGTTTGAATGAGTTGTTCAAAAGTGCCTGAGGCTGTATTTTTATACTTTGCCATGTTGAGGTTTGCTTTGTCTTTGTATCTAGATTACGAAATGCCTATCTGTTTACTCTTTCCTAAACAGGTCAAATTGTTTAAATGTCATGGTTACTACCACACAACTTGTTCCTGCTCTTGCCAAGTGTCTTCTCTATGGACTGGGTGGTATTTTTCCTCTTGAAAATATTTATAGCGCGACTAAAGTTGGTAAGTGGATTTTATTTGAAAGAGACTGACAATCAGTTTGTCAAATGTAAAATAACATAATTGACTATTTTAACTTTATTGGTCAATAAAAAGGTTAACCAGAAACTGATTTTTTGAAAGAAAAGTATTTTTTCGGTTTGTGTATTTGGTTAGAATAATCTCATGAGAGTAATGTTCTTCTAAAACTTGTCACAAAACCGTAACCATGGGGTCGATTACCCTTGGATTACAAATATTAATGAAAATGTAACTTCTTGCAACAATTTCAACACATTTTTTAGGAAACAGTTGATGAGAATCGATATAACTATTATCTCTTTGAAGCGCCAAATTAACTTAACTACTTCGTAAGGAAAATTTATAGCACCTTGAAGGGAGAGTTGCAATCAGATCTTTTATTTGACAGGAAAAGAAACCTGCTTTGAAAGAATCTCAAATCGATTTGGAAAGAAGTGTACATATGTAGTTGTAGGAGATGGGAGAGATGAAGAAATGGCCAGCAAACAGGTAATCACGTGTAGTGTAATGTCATGAACGCCGTCTTAAAATTGATTGTCCGAAGTAATGTAAGTTTGTTTTGCTTTCGATTTTTTTTGTTATGATCGCTCTAGAAAAATTTTCGCAACCCTCTCAGTGAATCAGATACCCAATAGAGAGGCCAATCCGGACTAAGGCACTAACGTTTCGCCGCGCGTGAAGCAGTTTGCGTGTTTTAACGTCGAGTTCCTTATGGCTCCATGTGTTGAATTGGCTTGTTTGAACGACATTCAATCGGACTGTATTTAACTCTTGGAACCTTGCTGTGGTATTTCATTCCTTATCCAGTTTGCAAATATCAGTTGTATCATACTCGACCGAAGTACTGAAACTTAATTTTTACTTATTGCGCTCGCAAATGCTTGACTTTGTAGCTATCATGATATAAATCATAGCTGTCTATCATTGAAGCTTCTCATACCGATAATTAGTTGTGTAGAATTTATCTTTCCCTTATCTGCCTTCTTTGCGAAAATTTCTTCCACAAATTATTCAAGGTGTTCCAACGACACTCTGAAATTACGCTGAAAGATATTCAGAAAATTTCTCAATACGTCCTGTATAGCTTAGCATGAAGTGGTATTCTTGTATTGCAGATGGGATTCCCTTTCTGGCGAATCGGTACTCACACAGACTTAATCAACCTTCATCACGCGCTAGACCTGGGACATCTCTAGTCGATGGACTGACTCTCTGCTGCTTTGTTCTGGCACTCATTGGAGTTTCTTTATTTCTTTGTAAACAAATGAAGAGAAATTGAATACATACATGAGTCGTGTAACGTTAAAATATGTATCATTTGGAATGGTGGCAAAGGGAAGGGTGATCTTTCCTATTTTAAACGCTCATTTTATGCTGCAAGCACATACCATGTTTGAATTTTTTCACAGTTTGGATTAGTGTTCCCTCGTAAAGAATTTCACCGCCCAGTCACTCACTAAAAAATCTATCACTAAAAGATCTATCTTGTAAGACGGTTTCTTGCCCTCTTGATCACTTTCTTGCATAGCATTACAAAGAGAGATCAACGTCAGTATCTGATCAACTGCGCACCCACCCCTTCCCTAACCCAATAACAGTTCACTGATAGCAAGTTAAGGGAAGGGTAGGTGGGCAGTTCCTAAGATACTTCCATTGATCCACAACGAGTATCGCATGAGAGTAATTCTCACTGACTATCGACTTCCTATGCATACATAAGTGTTTTATCCTTGGACTTCTATACATGGAAGCTACATTGTACAGTATAATAGTGGTTATCGCTTTTCATTTATATGGTCCCAAACTTTCTTGTACATTTCCTTTAAATAGTAGGGACTGCTACAAGAAGTAATTTCGAAGCTTCTATAATTAAAATACTTCTGCCTTGGGAATTATTCCTAGGAGCTACATTTCTCCACCGGAAGCGTAGTGAAAGTGGCAGATATTGTTATTTTACTCACTCTCCTTGCGTCTGTTGCCATGTGGGATTTTCGGAAGTGTTTGTATAACCAAAAAATATAGTTAACTAGAAATCTGTACAGCTTTTTTTTAAACGCAAATAATAGCGAAGTACCCTGCGGTTTGTTATGTTTAGTTATTTGGTAATGTAGTTTGAAAAGCACAAGCGAGATTTTTTGGTATCGTGATCCAGAAACTGATTTGTTTAGCTTTTCTTT